CTTTCCTGCTACGTGGCATCCGGAGAACCGTGTCCACTCGATGTGAAAGCAGACTCCACTCAAGCGCAGGGGTTGTCTGCTGCTTTTTATCGACAGATTCCTCTGCCGGCAGCCTGGTCAGCAGAGGACACATTTGTGAAACACTAAACTTTAGACCTTCGGGCGAGGAAAGACACAGATGTGGGCAAGACTATTCTGCAGGCTCTGTTCCAGTGAGAGACTCACCCTGCCTCCTCTGATGAGTAGCTCACTAATGGTCCCAATGTGAGGCTGCATGAGAAGATGGAAAATGAAAACAGAGTTGCACTTACCTGTAACTGTTGTTCATTGATGTCTTCTGTGCAGACGCATGTTCCCTCCCTCCTGGCCCAACGTGAGCTCTCACAGGGCCTATTGTGCCGTGAAAAAGGAGCTTGCAGTGGCTTAGCAGGAGCTGAGGGAAGGGGGCACCTGCCCATGGAGCATGTGGTGCATTGGGTGGGAATTCTGCACATGCACTGGCTCCAAAAGGGGTGGGGCACCCCCTCTTTGGAGTTTTTTTAGCTAGAAAGAAAATGTCCATGGCCAGCCTGTGCAGGCACAGTCCCAATGTATGTCTGCACAGAAGACGTCGATGAACAACAGTTACAGGTAAGTGCAACTTTTCTTCTGTTAAATTTTTATCAACTGTGCTAGGTTATTACATCAACATTTCTTATGAGGAAAGAGAATCTTGAAATATCACTGCTCAAATAATGGTATCTTTAATACAATATCAAAGAGAAGCTACAGAACACTGACACAGCTCCAGGGACTTGCTGGATAAAAATCAAAGAATGGTGTGAAATCTGAATATTAAATATAAGGAAATATTGTTCCCCTTGGCCTGTGATGTCTTTTCTATGTAAATGAGTAGCAATAGTATTTAGCAGCTCCCATGAATAAGGTTTTCTGTTGTTGTTATGTCTGGGTGGAGTTGTGTGTGAAATAACACCATAATCTTTTTTTGAAAAGCTTATACCATTTGGTGATCACTGAAAAGAAAGAGGGTGCTAGTTGCAAATAGTGTATCAGAAATGGTAAAAATTTCATCTGAACTCCATATAAATGTTTTGCCAAATCTAAGAATTTTTAGAAAAGTTTCTTGTAAGAAATGGGTATCTAGTCTTGTGAAGCTATGTAATTAACAATACATTTAACTAACAAGGGTTCTTGTATTCCAGGATGACTCCCTTGTAGTGTGGAAGGAAGTGGATCTGACCAGGCTCTCAGAAAAAGAGCGGCGTGATGCTTTGAATGAGATTGTTATTCTTGCTCTGCTGCAGCATGACAACATCATTGCGTATTACAATCATTTCATGGATAATACCACGCTGCTGATTGAACTGGAATACTGTAATGGTGAGCGTTTTCTCTCATAAACAGCAAACACCTCTTCCATCTTGGGTTCTCTGGGAAAGACAGAATGCAGAAAGGCAGTGTCTTGTTTATAGCTGTAATGGCAGATCTAGAAACATGAACCAGATTAATCTTGGAAGACTGCCATTTATGGTTTGTGGATAAGTAATCTAAAACATACTTGTTGGGAAGCAGAAATAGCTAAAGGAGAAATAGAGCGAAAATTGGACGTTGTCAAATACAAATAAGAATATTTGCAGAGTAAATAAATTAGAGACTGTGTTATATGAATTCTCTACTTTATTTGCTCTGCAAATATTCTTTTGCTTGAAAATAAGCTTTCAGTCATTTCCTAGCATACTATGCAAACTGTTGGATATTGCTGTGATGGGGTTTGCAGTGCCATATTGCATATACAAGCTTTTAGTGATCACAAAATGAAGTGGTTCGACAGAAACACCTTTGAGAAAATAAAGCATAGAACATGTGACATAACTACTATTCTTGAAGTTTTCGTGCCCCTTCTTTTGAATTCATGGTTGATTTGGGTATTGTTTTTAGCCCACTACAGAACCTTCTAGTCTGCCTTCCCAATTAAGGGTACAAATTGCACTGAATTAAGTATCAGTTCTTCTTACTTTGGATCTGAATTGCATTCAAATTCAGAAGACATTATAATTCATAACATCAGTGATGCACATTCACTTCTTCTTAAAGGTCTTCCTTGTGAAGACAAATCTGAGAGAAGAGCTTACTTTAAAAGTTACATGTGTGTCCTGAAGAAGAGCTGTTGCTGATGCTGGAAGATACATTTTATTCTTTTGAATTTTTTGCCTTCAAAGCTCCTTGTGCTCAGGTTAGGTTACAATCAGCAGCAGTTGAAAAACACGAGGGAAGATGGGCTTGTTTTTCACACAGAAGAGATTTTAGGAATACAGTGAATTCTTGGAAGGATTTCTAGTAAATACTGATACAGCAATTACAGTCAATAACAAAATATTTCTCTCAATTACAGGGGGAAACCTCTATGATAAGATCTTGCGGCAGAAGGACAAGTTGTTTGAGGAAGAGGTAACGTGAATGGTAGTGGGGATTACCATGCTGCTAGTTTGCTGTGGAATCTCCCAACCTTTATGCCTTTTCAGTTTTTCTTTTCCCTTGGCCTTCAGACTGTATTCTTCTAACAGTGCAGTCCTATGCAGAGGTACATCTTTCCCAGCCCATTCAACCCAGTGGACTTAGAAGTGTGTAACTGTGCTTAGGGTTGAACCAAAACATGGACTTCATTGGTCTGAGAGAGGTGTACCTCTGCATAAGATTGCACTGTGAATGTGGTACTCATTACTCTAGGGTTGCGGTGCTCATCTCCGTTTCAAAGCCGAAGAGCCAGCGCTGTCCGAAGACGTTTCCGTGGTCATGTGGCCGGCATGACTAAACACCAAGGCGCACGGAACGCTGTTACCTTCCCACCGAAGTGGTACCTATTTATCTACTTGCAATTTCTTGCTTTCGAACTGCTAGGTTGGCAGGAGCTGGAACTAGAGACAGGAGCTCACCCTGTCTTGCGGCACCCGGGTCTTGAACCGCTGAACTACTGACCTTCCACAGCCTGCAGTTCAGCGTCTTAACCACTTGAGCCACCGCAGCTCACTCTTCAATTCAACCTTAAAAACTAGTAAGCAGACAAACACATGTATTGTTTGTTACTTTTACAGTAATTTGGTACTCAGGGCAACTTAACATTTTAAAAGCCTTCATACTGAAATGGCTAAACACAGCAGAATAAAATACATGTTTCTTCAGCTTCCAGCAAAAGTCTATGCAAAAAAGTTTTTCATTTGCTGATGGGAACTATATCATGAGGAAGTAAAGAAGTTCCACGATTCAGGTGCCACAAGAGAAGAATCTGTGCTGTACCCTCTCGGATCTAACTGTAATAAATGATAATATATGAAACAAAACTTTTCCAGAAACAAGTATAGAAATGCACTTCTAAACATATGTAGGACCTACACCAGTGCTCCCTCTAAGCTGTGGAGTCTTGTGAACAAAAATTCTAATTTGTGAGCTATTGGCATTAAAGTTGTGAGCAAGCGATTTGGCTACTGCATACATTAGTTTGCTTTGGAGCCATCCTTCCTGAGCTAAACTGAGCTAGTTCACACTAACTCAGCTTAAATGGAACACTGACCTACACTAAGATTTATAAAGACCTCTTTGCTTCCCAACTGTCCTGGAAAGTTAGCTGCTGTCACTCCTAATTATTTTTTAACTTAAGTTACCAATTTCTTTAGCAGTTCTCACCCTGCATCTTGCACACCACATGAGCAGATTATTTTGGAAAGATTATTCTTGGAAAAAGACTATAGCACTGAGATGTCCCTACATTTGGTTAATTTTCCTAGGAAAGATGCATATTTTTGTTTTGCTCATATGTGAATATTCTTTCTTTGCAGATGGTGGTGTGGTACGTATTTCAAATTGTATCAGCGGTAAGCTGCATCCACAGAGAAGGAATACTTCACAGGTGATGTGTTTAATGAAGCTAGGACGAATAGTGATCTAGTTTCTGAAAGTAAAACCTGCTTGAAAGCCTCATTTCTCCTCATGATGCAGCACTTCTTTACTTTGGAAAAAGGAAGAAGAAATAGGAATTTTGTGTCTGTGTTCTTTGAAGGACTGTCATTTTCTTCAGTTTGCCTCAGTGTTAAATGCAGTCGCTTGAGTTCCTCACTTACTGCATGCATTTACAACAGATAGGAAGGTCGACACATGGCCGCAGTAATGCTAGCACTTTTCAGTGAGCCAAATATGATTTACTGAGAAAATGTTTATGCAGATGAGATCCTAGTTTTCTGCACGAAGTACTTAACAGGAAATATAAAAAGATAAAACAACAGCATAGGAAAGAAAATAGTCTGATGGCAGTTTCTCTGTCTGAAGGATGCAGGAGCATTCTTGAGTCGCTTTCCTATGAAACTCTGTATAGCAAGACCGTATGATGCTGAAGGAGACTGAACCCTAAGAAAAGACTCACCTATTGTGAGGCAGAGAATAAGAACAAGCACCTGTGAAATAATTCTCACTCCAGCTCCCCCCAGCTATGTTTCACTCTTTAGAATTCTGAGAATGCTTCAATCAGCCAAGTGGGAAGTGGAATCTCATAGCTCTAACTGCAAAACAGTTTTTCTCACAAAGACGTTGTGGATATGATTTGTTTTTTTTCACAGTAATGGAGCTTACCATAATGTTAATACACCATTTAGTTTATATTTTGCATCTTTATAACAACAAGATAATTTAGTTTATATTTTGCATCTTTATAACAACAAGATAATAATAGCACTCAGCACAGGTAGCCTGCCTCATAGGCATATTGTTTGTAGTCAGCTCTCTGTTTTATTGACATGGTGTACATTGTGCGATTTTAGCCTGTTCCCTTGAAAGAGTCCTACCTTTTTGTAAATCCTTTAAACTAAAATTGTGCCTCTTACTGTGAAGTACTTTATTGACAGAAGGCAAGCAGAAGCTCAGACCTCAGATATTCTTGTATCTTGGAGGCTCCTAGTTCTCTAAACCACTGCTGCCGTTTTCTCCTCTTGAAGAAAGACTGAAGAAGTTACTATTCAAAGGCCAATTAAAACCTTTTGATTTATAGGGGCTATACTAAGAATTGATTTCAATTAGAAATACATTCTTCTGTTCTTTGTGGATGCAGCAGAAATCTTGACAAAATACCAGCAGTTTATTCTGATGGCTGTGAATCAAAGCAGACTGAAGCAGGATTCCAGTGGCCAGGGAGCCGATCTTTTGTTAATGAGTTCACCTTATTTTTCTACTCAAGCACACTTACATTGCAATTCTAAACAGAGTTACACCTTTCTAAAACCTTTTATCGTGATGGAAGGGTGTAACTCTTCTTAGGATCGCCCATTAGTGTCCTTCTTGCTCCCTTTTCAATTTAGAAATACACACACACACATGTTAAAAAACTAGGGTAGATTAAATTGAATTTCCTAATGCAGGTTACATATGGTAACACCCACACAGAGGAGTGTAAAGCAGTTATCCAGTCTGCCCACTATTCATATGGTGACAGAGCATATGGCAGTGGCTTGTTTACAGAAGGTCCCAGTTGAAAAGAATTTTGGGTAGCAGTTGTTGGGAAATTCCTTTCTCTAGAGCTGCCTTATGTGGAGTCCATCTAGCTCAATATTATCTACTCTGCCTGGCAGCAGCTTTCCAGAATTTCAAGTAGAGAACCAACACTTGTTAATTTTAACAGGAAATAGCAGAGACTGAACCAGCCTCTCAGTTGGCCTGTATCTTTACAAAAATCCTGGAAAATGAAAGTATTAATTGATATAAAATTACATTTTTAGAAGTATGAGTTTTATTTTTGTTTCTGTTCACGTGATGTAATACAACTTGATTGTTGGTTGTTGCAGTGAAACTCAGAGAGGCTGTAAGCATGGAGAGGAATTCAATTAAACTTGTAAGAGTAAAATTAATGAAAGATGAAATGGCAGTATGCAAGTCCTAAGCATGGTGGACTGAAGAATTGCATCAAACTTTACATTCTTTTTTTTTCTTCTGTAGAGATATAAAGACATTGAATATCTTCCTCACTAAAGCAAACCTCATAAAATTGGGTGATTATGGCCTGGCGAAAAAGTTGAACTCTGAGTATTCCATGGCTGAGACAGTAAGTATCTGCTCTCTGCGTTTGAGACAATTTTTTTACCTTTCCCATTTGGGATTTATATGTGTTGCCAAAATTTGGGAGTCATGAACGCTTTATGCTGGTTTCTTTCCATACTCCCCTTTTAAATTCTTTCATTAACATTTACAAACTGTTTTATTGCTCAGAAGGTGCTGTTGGAAAATGTATCTTCACCATCTGCTCAGTAGATTTTTTCTTGGTACTTGTATCTTATTTCTAATATTATAAATGGTTGGTTAGACTGAGATTATTTTTCTTACAATGTTCCAAACCATCAAACGTAGCAATATTAAAAGAGTTATTTTCTTCCTTTTCGTATGTAGTTCAGTTTTTATGGCTTCTGCAATCTCTTCAATCTTTCAGCTTTGGCTCCAGAAATCATCATTTAGTTCTCTCTCTTTGATTTGCTTAAAACTGTAGCCTATCCCTTCGGAAAGGCTTAGCTGCTTCTTAGGTCATTTTTTGCTTCTCACAGGAACATGTTTCCTTAAACTGTCACACAGTATTATTGTTCACAATGTCATCTTTCCTCATTTGTATTGGCCACAGTGTTATAATACAAAAGCAAAATGATAAAGCAAGAAAATTTAAAATATTGAGTTTTATTTCTCCAGTGATGTGCCACTTATACATTCATCCATCATCTATCATATTTGTCTTCAGGAAAATAACTTGGAATAAAATGGTGGTTTTGAGATTGGGACCGTTCCACATTCTACGGGGTAGCAAATCTGAATTTGCTACTAAATGTACTCCTGACAGTGAATAGTGACTAGTCCCTGTTCCCTGACAAATATACTGGTGTTGTACTTGTCTGCCATATATATACCTATAATATTTTTAGGTGTACTTTTACAAAGAGAAAAAGGAAAAAAATCTGTGAAGCAGCCCCAAAATAATTTATTCTAGAAGAAGCACACAGAGTCTTGCAGTTTGTATTGTCTAATTTAGAGCAGGGTCTGTCCTATTTCATTGTCTCTGTGAAACAGAATGCTCTTTTCAGAGCATGCCTCAAATGAAATAACTGAAATAGATCAAAGCCCTAGTAGTACATGATGCATTTGAAAGGTTAGATGGGCCAGGCCTTCTAATTTTGTATTTTTTCCCTTGGCACCCACACTTGCAGATCTCTACATATCTTACATCTCTGCATATCTTGCACTATCTGTCCTCATTATGTCATTGGTTTCCTGTCATTTTTTGTTTAGTTTGACTCATTCCTTACCCTTCATTATGTTTCCTTTCTCATGCATTCAGCCATTTATTTTCGTTGTAATATTATTCACAATGCATCTCCAGTTGGTTGAGCAAAATTGATAACTGAAAGGTAATTTGCTAGCCATTTTCCAGTGGTTAACAGGATGGTGAAACCCAGTAGTTACTTATAACATCACAGTCTTAAACTCTAAGCATCATATTTTGGGGTTGGGTTATATTTAAAACAGGAAACTTGCCACTTGCAGGAGTAATGTAACTCCTGTAACATAAACTATGTCTGATGATATGATAAGGATCTGGATAGAATATCTCTAATATTTTTTTATTTTGTGTAGTTGGTAGGAACCCCATACTACATGTCTCCTGAGCTCTGCCAGGGTGTAAAATACAACTTCAAATCTGACATCTGGGCAGTTGGCTGTGTCGCTTTTGAGCTTCTCACACTGAAGAGAACTTTTGATGCTACAGTAAGTCACAACTGTGATGCTGCATAGCTTTCTTTTCTCTTAGTTTTGTCTCTTCCTTTTTGTGTGTGTCTTAGTTGGGAGAGACTAACCCAGTGTTGAAAATTTATGAAGTGAGAGATCTAGATATACTGGGCATCTCCTCTATAGGGGTGCTGGTGCCCTTTAGTCTGGTCCTGAGCTCCCTTGCTGATGTCCTGCTTGCCTACTTAGAATGGTGAATAATAGCTTGCCTTCTCAGGCAGGTATTTCATCTCCATTGAGCTTATTTCATTATTTCCTTTTAGAATCCATTGAACCTCTGTGTGAAGATTGTGCAAGGCAACCGAGCCATGGAGGTTGATTCCAGTGTGTATTCTCTGGATCTCATTCAGATGGTGCACTCCTGCCTTGATCAGGTTGGTGAGAGAACAGCTATCTATCAGCTTTGGTGTCCATAATAGAGTGAGGTGGAGGCTGGTCTTGTATAGGCTTCAGCAACTAGAGATGTACATTTCTTGGCATTCTGTGCCACTGAACTCTTAATACTTTGAGTTAGTGTTTTCGGCTGTCCAGGAACTCTAGCAACAGGAAAGCAGCTACCCAGTCCCCTTGACTTTGGAAAGCTCAATCTACAGTTTAACTATTCTTGTTTAACTTTTCACTTTCTGCCTAATACTTTAATTCTTTAGCTTATGGGGAAATGGAAAGAGATCACAAAACTGTGGTTAGCTGTTCTGCCCTAAGTCATTGTTTTAAAAAATGATCCCTTTCCTTAGGGAGTGACCTGTCCCTCACCTCTTTCAGGATCCTGAGAAGAGGCCTACTGCGGATGAGCTCCTTGATTGTCCCCTTCTCAGCCAACGCAGGAGGTAAACAGTCATATATGTCTTGAACATCATGAGTATTCTTTATTTACTTCCTTTATACCCATATTTGATTCTAGTGGGAACCCTTGGAGTCTGAAATGCAATTCTTTTTTTTACGGACGTTAAAGTAGGGCTGTCATTAAAGACTCCCCAAAGAATGTCTCTGGAAAAAGTCAGGTCTTACAAGAAAAAAGGGGCTTTCTAATGGTATTAGAAATTTTATAAATCTAAACACAAAATTTTAACCCTTGTCTTACATTATAGAAGTACAATAAGCCTTCATATGGGGATAATGCTGACCTACTTTACAGGGTTGTTGTAAGGATTACAACAAGGTACTGTATGTGAAGTGCTTTAGAGTAGTCAAAACAATAAAATAATGCGAACTATTTCTAATAATAGATATATGTGAGAATTTGTTAAGAATACCTTTTCAAGGAGCTAATGCATGCAAATAATGAAGTTGTACAAAACCCCCTCTCTTCCACTGCTGTAATACTAGACTTCTGTCTGGGACACTATACATCTCTTGTAGACTTACAGTACCAAATGATTTATTGTATGATATAAATGAAAATCCACCAAATATCATGGCACCCAATTGACAATTGTGCTGGGCAGAAAGCACAGAATTTGGCACCCAGTGTTTGCTGTCAGTGCACAAAATGGTGGGGATAGAGAACAGTGGTGTGTGTGTGTGTGTGTGTGTGTGTAACTTTTCTCACTTGCCACTCCTCCTGTGTTCTCTCCAACTTCTTTTTCCAACTGTATTTGCTGGCGATGAAAAATAGATGGGGGTGGGGTTGCAAAGGAAAAGTAAGAGGAGGGCTAAGCACTCCTCTCCCCATCAATGCATATCTCCTGCAAACACATTGCTGGAGATCTATTGGGAATCTGTTGTTTCCTCCTAACACGTATTTCCACTGTTAGCCTTCTGAAAGGAGCGTCTTGGATGACTTCTGCAAGTTAAGAGGAACATCTTCACATTTACCACATGGTGCTTTTAAACTTTTTCACTCATATATCTATCCACCCTTTTCTTTAAGTGCAAAAACTTGACAGCTAATATAAGAAACATACATAAATGCTGTGTTGCACTTACATAAGATTTCTGCCACTTCCTCATTCTCACTGCAGGACCCCACTTTGTTTTCACTGACCCCCCCCCCCCTAGGAGCAGGATTTCAGGGAACACAGCAGGCTATAGTGGGATGGCACTGGCACTGGCATTTGATCACATTTCACCACTGATGGTGGTGCACCAGTTTAGTGGGAGTGATTCCTCTGTGTGTCTTGTGGTGATGGTAAAGCATGTTCTGATCTTCTATGAGAAGCACAGTAGTAATAGATGGTTGCTGATCTTAATGTTTATTCTTTCTTCTGGCAGGGAAATGGAGGAGAAAGTTGCACTGCTTAATGGCCCAAACAAGCGACCAAGGTAAGACAGGAGGTGTTTGTGTGTTGAGTGGCACTGAAGAAAATCAGTCCGTAGTAGGATGGCCAACATCTGGGTGGTGGTTGAAAATTTCCTGGGATTACAGTTTATCTCCAGGCAACAAAGATCAGTTCCCATGGAGAAAATGGCTGTGTTGCAGCGTGGACTCTATGGCATTATATTCCCCTGAAGCCCCTCCCTTTCCCACAGCCTGCCCACCCCCAAAATCTTCAGGAATTTCCCATCCAGAGCCAGCGACCCTAGTCTCTACACCCCTCACTTGGTTGAAAGTAACAGTGAAACAATGTTAGGTTTAATTATGTTTTCAATGTATGATGTTATAGGATGTGATAATTATCATTTTATAGAATTTAAGGATGCCCTACCATTCACTATAAGCCTGAAATGACTTCACACCAAATTGTATTCTTTCTGCTTTGCCTATTAATTCAATAGCTGTATAGTTTTACAATAAATTATGCTGTAATCTATAGTCATCCTTTATTTGTTGCGTATCTCGGGTACAAATGCTGCTGTGGGGTTTACTCCCCTCCCCCTTTGAGATGACAGTCAGTTACTGGAAGAGAACGCTTAATAATGGAGAGAGTGAGATGTGTGTAAATGTTTAGAAGATGGTAATATTCTGGACAAGGTTGCCAGACTATATTATTTATGAATAAATTAAATAGTACCAGCCCCAATACCAATCCTTGTGGGACACCACTGCTTACTTCCCTCCATTGTGAGAACTGTCCATTGATTCCTACTGTTCGCTTTATGTCATGTAACCAATTTTTAATCCATAAGAGAACCTATCCTCTTATCCCATGATTGCTAAGTTAACTCAGGCATCTTTGGTGAGTCCAAGGATATAACGTCTACCGGGTCTACCAGGTCACCATTGTCTACATGCTTGTTCACTTTCTCAAAGAACTCCAAATGGTTGGTGCGGCAGGACTTCTGTTTGCAGAAGCCATGCTGATTTTTCCTCAACAGGATTTGTTCCTCCATGTGCCCAACAATTCTGTCTTTGATTACAGTTTCTACTAATTTGCCCAGCAGAGGCATTGGGCTGATTTGCCTGTTATTTCCTCGATCCCTTCTGGATTCCTTTTTAAAAATTGGTGTTAACATTTCCCACTCTCCAGTCTTCTGCTTCAAGGGCTGAATTTAGTTATAGGTTACATATACTGGTTAGTAGATCAACTGTCTACTAAGTTCCCTAAGAACTCTTGGGTATATGGCATCAGGACCTAGTAGGTCTAGAAGTTCATCTCTGGTCACCTCAATTTGTCTCAGTTCTTCAGATTCTCTGAAAATAGGGACTGTAGCATGGGTGTGTGCCCCACACTTTCTACGGTGGACATAGAAGCAAAAAAGTCATTGAGCTTCCCTGCCATCTCCCCATCTTCCTTTAGCAATCCCTTTATTTCTTTGTCATCCAAAGGCCCAACTGTTTCTCTGACTGGTTTTCCTGCTCTGGATATATTTAAAAATCTGATCTTCCAGCACATCTGCTGTTGTAGGACCTGGAATGGGATTTATGCTGAACAGTCTTGACTGTTCCCTACTCCATTATGTTTTATAGATCAAGCACTATGAATGAGGCTCCCATTGCAGTGGTGACTTCACGCACTAGTGAAGTGTATGTATGGGGCGGTGGAAAGTCCACTCCTCAAAAGCTAGATGTCATCAAGGGTGGTTGCAGTGCACGACAGGTCTGCGCAGGAAACACTCACTTTGCAGTGGTGACAGTGGAGAAGGAGCTCTATACGTGGGTGGTAAGTAAAATGTGTTGGAAGAACTTGGGAAGCTTGGGATGGAGTGGCAGAATGAGTGGTTGTGATTGAACCCCCTCCCAGTTTGTTAATCTAATAAGGGAAGCATTTGGATACGTGAAGATGGTGGATGCAAGCATAAGGACATGTCTTATTTATGTAATATCTAACAAATTCAGTGTCAAGAATGGATTTACTTTATTAATTTTTTAAAAAAATTCATTTTGACATCATGCAGTGCTCAGCTGTCTGAGTTTTGTTGCACAATCCTGAGTGGAGCTGGCCATTTGATCAGTCAAAAAATATTTCTAACTCCCTGAACAAATATTGTCAAATCATTAAGTTTATTAGAACTCAACAAAGATGCTAGAGTCATCACCAAAGCTGATGCTTGTAGTTATTGCATAAAATGAATTTGTTAACTTATTGTGACACTTTTAAGAAAAGCTGCAGTGAATTATTGTAATGATAATAAAGTTTCTGTAAATGTGATCCATCCTTTTTGCTTTATTTCTTTATTTTTTTAATAGCCCCCGGAGGGGATTTTTTATTGTATTTTTATTCATACTACAAACTATAACAGAAAAGAGGAGGGGTACTACATTTAAGGGGATAAAGAAAGATACCCACTACTGACTAAAATCCCAAGAGAGGAGATCTTCTAACCAGCTTAAACAAAAGTTTAGTCTTCCCTCCTGTTAATCTTACTATAAACTGAGTCAAATAAAGCATTGACATTTCCAAATCTAAGTTTCACTGCCATACAGAAACACCCCAAAGCATCTCATCTACACATTTTTTTAAAGCACAGTTCAGAGTCCTTCAGCCTTTACTTCTCTTTGCCTAATCTCTTCCGTAACTTACAAGGACTTTTAGGGGCTGCCGCCCCTTCCCCTGAAAGAGAGTCCTCCCCGGAAGATTCCGAGTCCAGCTCGCCATTGGACTTCATATCCTTCCCTTTTCTTCTTTCTTCCTCTGGCTCACCCAACTGGACTCTTAAAAATTCCCATGCTTTCTGAACAGAGTCAATCTTTTCTTTTTTATCCTTGATCTTGAAGGTTACGCCTTCTGGAGTTAACCATCTATATCCAATTGCGTTTGTCTGAAGGAAAAGAATTAAATCTTTGTATTTCTTTCTCCTTTGTCTTATTTCAAATGGAATGTCTTTCAATGTTCTGATGGTAGTCTCCCCCACTTTCAGGGGTACTCCAGATACCGCTTTCAGGATTGCATCCCTCACATGCCTCTTCGAGAATCTCGCCATAATTTCCCCAGGCAGATTATTTTTCTTTATATATCCAGAATATGACCTGTAGGCCACATCTTTATTGTTTAACAAAGATTCCACCTTCATATCTGTCACTGGGGCCAATGTTTCACTCATTAATTCCTTCAGATTCTCTCCCTTAGTCTCTGGCATGCCCTGGAAACGGAGAACCATATTAGCCTTTTCCATTTGTAGTTGTAGCAGCTGTTCTTCTGTAGAGATTTGCTTCTTTTCCAGCTTTTGAACTTTCTTTTTCACCTTTTGTGCAGTGGCGTCCACTTCTTTCACGCATTCCGCCGGCGAAGAGGCAACCTCTCATAAGTCCCATGGCCAGAGCCCCTTTACCCGGGTCCCTGGGGGGGTGACGAGCCTGCGCACCCCCTCCTTCGGCCGGAGCACAGCTTCACCCCCGGGAGGTCCGGGAGGTGAGTCTGCTAACGTGCCGCCATCAACCAGAAGTCCCTTTTTGCTTTATTTCTGTACTGTTTTCATTTTTAGCTGAAATTGTATGGTAACCTTGGTGTCCCAGATAAAGCCTAGGTAAAAATTGCTACTTTTAAAAGTAAGGGGTTTTTTTAAAAGGCAGTTATGAGGCAGACAGAGTGCCAGTTCTTCCTGTTTAGAGATGGCCATGTTTATAGATGTGGCCAGAGAGAGAAGCTTTACAGTACTGCTTGCTGCAGGGTTAGGGGGCAAGCAGTCCTCCTTCCTGCCCCTGGTAACAAATGACGCCATAACGAAATAAAAGGGCTCAGTGGCATTCTTGGCTTCGTGGAATATTTGTCTGTAACCCAGTGATAGCCAGCAATCAACTGGTCGGCTGACTGGCATGCCAGCACCAGTCGTGGGAGATAAACTGCCATTTAGGATGCCCAAGCATTCTCTTCCCCCATCACCCTTTTTGCACCCTGTTGGCATATAAGAGATCCTAATAGTGTTAACCCATTCTGAGAGTCCCACTTTTTTCTGATTAAGACTAAGGTCCAAAAGACTTTTCTGTTCCCTCTACCAGTGAAAACCCCACCTACTGAAAATCCTCTCCCTCAAAGATTGGCCATCTGGAACAGCATCCCATGGAACAGAAGAAATTTATTTATTCCCCTCATTTCTACCCCACCTTTCTGCCCAGTAGAGTCCTAAAGTGGCTTATTCTGTTCCCCTCTCTGCCACTTTATCCTCACAGCAACAACCCAGTGAGTTAGGTTAGGCTTCAAAAAAGCAAGTGATTAGTCCAAGGTCACCCAGCAATCTTCCATGGCTGAGTGGGGATTTGAACCTGAGTCTCCCAGATCTTAGTCCAGCACCCTGACCATTACACTGCACTGGCCAGATTCACCTGCAGGTGTGTGCATGGAAGTGCACTGCAAGCATTTGCAGCCCTTTCCAGATCTCCACAAAAGCCCTATATTGTTCTTTTATTTGGTTCTGACTGGGAATTCCAGGTATACATCCTTCAGTATCCTTCACCCATACTTCTGTATTTTGCAGAACATGCAAGGGGGCACCAAGTTGCATGGCCAACTGGGGCATGGAGACAGAGCCTCATACAGGCAACCGAAGCATGTGGAAAAACTGCAGGGCAAGGCTATTCGCCAAGTGTCTTGTGGAGATGACTTTACTGTGTGCATCACGGGTGAGAGGCAAATATACAGCAAAGTATATAGACTGTAGTAGAATCGAAATCTTGCATTAACCGTGAAAAAAGAAAATAACCTTTGCTAGCAAGAGAGCATGAAACATAATGACAGTGGTCAAATGAGACAAGGTATACTGAGTTATAGGAGCTCCTTGAAGAAAGGGCAGAATAAAAATGTGCTACATAAACACATGAAGTTGCCTTATACCAAATCAGACCATTGGTCCATCAAGGTCAGCATTGTCTGGCAGCATATCTCCAAGGTCCCAGGTGGTGGGCTTTCACATCACCTGCCACCTGAACCTTTTAATTAGAGATGCTGGAGGTTGAACCTGGGACCTCCTGCATGCCAAGCAGATGCTCTACTGCTGAGTCATGGCCTCATCCCATCATAGAAACGGAATCTGCATAGATATGGAATCCACTGGTCGCAGCATTCGGCTGACCTAATTTGATCTAAATGATTAGGTTATTTTAGGTAATGGTAGGATTAGCTTACCTTTTATTTTAGCTTTGCTGTGTTAAAGATGCAGATAACCTTGGGCAGCCTTTGGCTTTTAGTTAAGGACATCTAAGTAAACTGAGGTACACTTCATGTCTAATTCACCTGGTCCTTCCTTTTTTGCAGATGAAGGTCAGGTCTTTGCCTTTGGCTCAGACTACTATGGCTGTATAGGTGTTGACAAGGCTTTTGGCTCTGAGGTTCTAGAACCTGAGCAGCTGAACTTCTTTCTCAACAATTCTGTGGAGCAGGTATCTTGTGGAGATAACCATGTGGCTGTGCTGACCCGAAACCGAGAGGTCTACACATGGGGCTGTGGAGAATATGGTTTGTGATTTCTTTTCTCTTCTGCCTTTGATGCTGGGGGTGGAGGGATGGAACAAAGTAAATAGATACTTCAACAAACACATACCAACTTCTTAAGTTTCATGATGAAACTACAGTGTAGTTGCACAGCAAAACAATTGAAAGGTACTAGCTGGTGACAGGATTATATTTCTTTAGAGCTGAGGTTGTAGAAGATTTCAAAGGGAATACATTCTAAAAAAAATGGACACAAGAACTGGTTTCCATCAAACATGGAATGTTGTATCTTTGACTTTAAGAAATGTGTCAGTCCTGTTTCCTCATAATTGGGCAGAATTGCTTGAAATTTAAATAACAGTCATTTCTCCATAATCATGTCATTTTAGCATGAGAAATAAGGGCTATGTCTGATTGTGTCTTTCCAAATACAGGACGCCTAGGGCTGGATTCAGAAGATGATTATTCCCTCCCACAGAAGGTAACACTGGTTGGTCCTTTGTCATAACTTGCAAGCTTTAGGCAGGTTCACTGTATCTCTTTTCTGGAGCATTTTTCCTTTGATGGAACAATAAATGGCCTCTATCTTAGTCATATTGTTCCCTACAACATATTTTTGTAAATCTAGAACAGTTATTTCTACAAACTTGGTAGGATTCAGATAGTTAAGTGATAAGCCAATGGAAGAAAGTAATTCTATGATCAGTTCATTACAGTGCACTGCTGTTGTACCTTCTGAAGTATTAAGTGGATCAATCCATGTCTCTGCAGCTGTTGTATTCTGGCTGAAGCTTTGATTTCTGCTTTACTGCCATACAGTATCTGGTATTCATTTGGTGCTTTGATGTTTTGTGTATCTCTGTCTTATGATGTTTGATATTGCTCTTTATAGGTGGAAATTCAGAAGACCTCCAATATTGTCTCAGTCCAGTGTGGCAGTGATGGAACTTTTCTGCTCACACAGGCTGGCAAGGTCTTAGCTTGTGGTCTGAATGAATTCAACAAGCTGGGTCTGAACCAGTGTACTTCAGGGATCATTAATCATGATGTAAGCAGCATTTCTGGGATAACACTAAAAATGAGAGAGATGTTCTTTTGGGAGGGGTTATAGGATCATTCTATCCATGTATTGTAACTTTGGAGGAAGTATGGGATATAAATAAGTGGAAATGGCAAAGAAGAGTGTGTATATTTTGCTTAGGATCCAGTCAGAATGATAAAAGGAAAAGAGAGGGAGGGGAACAGTTGTGATTTACGAAATCTTGCAGAAAGCTTACTTTGGTTGTGCAGTATTACGGCATATTTATGAGGGGTCTATATAAGAAGTTTAGCATTTGATCCAAGCAGGAGTTGAAAGGACTGACTTATATGGTACCTGTATCTGTACCCTTGTGGCTTACTGTAGCCCTGCACGAAGAAGATCTAAAGGTGTATGTGAGTATTGGATCCTGGCATTAGATTTGTCATACTGGTTTCTCTCATTCTTTAGGCCCACCACCTTCAGTTTGGCCAGGAAGCTCTCTTTCTACAAGATTCGCACCATTGCCCCAGGAAAGACACACACAGCTGCTATAGATGGTGAGATCTGCTCAAACTGCATTCAACCCTGCGGTATAGTCCCACCTGGATAAGAGTACACTAATCTCCTTTAGGGCAGATTCACTGAAATAAGTGCCATCTTAATTTGCGTATCTTCAGTCTGCTATGCAGCCTAGTTCTATAAACCATTGTTGATAGAATAGTCTAGGTTTTACCTTTGTGTATAGAACCATGAATACTGAAATTCTTTGCAGTGAGGCATATTAGGGTGCGTGGTAATCATGTCTGCTACTGACTTGGGGCTTCTGTTCCTTAGAGTGATAAGGAATGATGCATACAGTATCACTTACTAGGCAGTCAACAGTAATGGAGCTTCAGGATTTTTCAGGTACAGGCCTATGTGTTCAGGGAAGAGTTACTGAAAAGACTGATGCTTTAAAACATACACTTAACCTACCATTGATGTAGCAGTAATTGACATTGCAACATAACTGGTAGGTTTTTCACTATCTTACTATGACATACACTGATGTTCCTGTGGCTCGACTGATTCTCCAGCAGAGTTTAGCACCTTTCTGTCTTGATTTCCGCAATGACTCTGTGTTTGGTTTTGTTTTCAGAACGGGGCCGTCTGCTTACTTTTGGTTCCAACAAGTGTGGGCAGCTGGGTGTCGGAGACTATAAGAAACGTGTGGGCATTAATCTGCTTGGAGGACCCCTCGGGGGAAAGCAGGTTATCAGGGTTTCCTGCGGTGATGAGTTCACTATAGCTGCTACTGATGGTGAGTATGGCCACTGGTGGGCTTGTAATGTATTTCTGTGGGCCTGAGTTTGTAGGGTCCTAAGGTCCTTCTTGGAGAATGGTAGCACAAAGGGGGAAATTTCAGAATCTGGCCACTCAAACAAAAGGTGTCTAAAAGGCTGTATGAACTGCTGGACTTAGACTGATAGATGTCTTCTCTTCTTTAGATAACCATATCTTTGCCTGGGGGAATGGTGGCAATGGTCGCTTAGCAATGACACCAACAGAGAGAGCTCATAGTTCTGATATTTGCACGTCATGGCCTCGGCCCATTTTTGGCTCCCTGCATTATGTTCCCGATCTGTCTTGCCGTGGCTGGCACACTATCATAATTGTCGGTAAGTAAGGAAAGTCCCCGGATCACCAGCTTCATCAGTGGCTATTAGCAGAGGTCCATCAGTGGCTATTAGCCACAAGGTATAGATAGGAACTCTCGGTCTGGGGCAAGTGATGCTCTGTATTCTTGATGCTTGGTGGTGGGGCAACAGTGGGAGGGCTTCTAGTGTCCTGGCCCCAGTGCTGGACCTCCTGATGGCACCTGGTATTTTTGGCCACTGTGTGACAGAGTGTTGGACTGGATGGGCCATTGGCCTGATCCAACATTGGCTTCTCTTATGTTCTTATGTTTCTTATGTCCATGGATACGTGTCTTCTTTAACTAGAGATTACTTGGAAGAGTGGCCATATTCTTTCAGAGGAAATATGTCAGCATGTGTCAGCATTCCCAGATTCTTCTGAAACCCGTTACTTAAAAAATCCCTTTCTTTCTCCACAGAAAAAGTGATAAATTCTAAAACCATCCTTCGTTCAAGTAGCAGTGGCCTATCCATTGGGACTGGTAAGTAATCATTTTTTTGTCTCTTTAAAGGTTTTCTTCAGATTAAGAACCCCAGGTTTTTCTTGACCTCCATATGCTCCAGATTACTTTGGATGTTGGAACCTTTGGGCATCTTATCTGTTCAAATCCAGGCAGGAGTCAACCCATTTCTTCTCTTTGTACTTTGGCATGCATACCAAGTTAGGCTTTATGTGGACGCATGTGGAGCACTATAACTCCATTCATAAAAAGAAAAAGAACTTTACTTATATTTGCAGCCCTTGATTGCAAAAAAGGAATGGCATGTAGTTTAGCGAAAATCATCAAAGTACTAAAGAGCAAAGAGAAGACAAAAGAAGCAATAATTACTGTGCTGTCTTCAGCTCTTGTTTTTCTTTGATGTGGTTTTTTAAAAAAAGATTCTACTCAACATTTACTTTATTCTTTTGTGTTCTCTAGGCCTTCTCATGAAGCCACTTAATTTCACTTAGGTCACATTTTAGCAGCCTGGTTTGGCCTGAGCTCACCTGAGTTTGTATGCTAAGCAGGGTCAGCCACGGCCAATATATGAAAGGGAGACCAACAAGGAAGACTGGGGTTGCTGTGTGGAGGAAAGCAGGGGCAGAGACCACCTTTGCTCATCGTATGCCTGGAATGCCCTGTGGTAGGGGTCACCATGAGTCAGTTGCCACTCGACAGCATGTTCTTTTTCTTCATATCTTGGCATCTGCCAGCCATTCCTGGTATTTTTCCCAGTTGAATGTCTTTTCTGTTTTTAAACCAAAGAAGCCCAGCAGATCCTTCTACCCATGGGAAAATGCTAATTTCCAGCCTTCAAAATTTGTTGATTAGGTATTTCAATGCAGGGCTGCCAAGAGCCACCATGGGCCCCCAGACAGAGATTCCACCCTCACCCCCCACGACCCTGATTGAAACCAAATATTTTCAGCTAGCTGCTACCATCTATGAATTGAATAATTGTTCGTTAGGTAAGAAACATTAATAAAGGGAAAGGGACAGGATTATTAAAGAACAGATTTCATTTACAGTGCAGATTGAAATAAGATATGGTGCAAGAAAACAACAACAAACCCACTTTCAGATAACAACAATCTAGCACTTGTCAGCTTTAAATGAGAAGACACAGATTTGAAGAAATCTAGCTCATAGTATTCTGTGAGCTTTTTGGCTAGCGAACAGTTTGATAATACTATCAGAGTCAAGTTTTTGGGCAAGCTGTGCCTCTACTGCCAAGGTTCCTAAAGCTGACAGATGACTTTGGCTCATTGAGGATCTTGGGCAGCAGTGACAGGTAGAGGGCAGTTAGGAAATAAGTTTGCTAAGTTCAGTGCCTCCTAGTCACAATTTTCCAGGCATAATTCAAAGTGCTGGTCTTGACCTTCAGAGTTCAAGTTGAAGAGGGGACAAAACTTCCAATCCCAGGTTGGCAGAATGGACAGCCTTCAGAGGTTTCATTTCTTCCATGAGATCATCAGACACATCACCACAATATTCAGTACTAAATTCTTTGACCACATCTTCCATTTCATTCTTTTCCAAATCTGGGTATTTCCACAAGAAACCAAAGGTGAAGTCTAACTTTTTAATTGCTTCATAGCGTCTTGTCATATTGCTAGTTATGCAGTCAGGAAGAACAGAGCAGACTTGCTTCTTGACACATTCCTCTGGATGATATTCATGTAGGTTTTCACTGACATTTGAAGTCTCATCTGTGAACCTTGCTTCACCAGTTTTCTTGTAGCAATCAACAAATTCTAGGAACCCTTTATTGAATTTCATATGTACCTTTCTCATTGCTGAAGTGGACATAAAGCAGAATGAACTCAGTGTGTTCATAGTGTGCTGAGTCTGGGGTTGCATCAGCAATTATAGCATAGTATTTGGATAGTTCTCTTTCTTTTAAGATGACCCGTTTGTACGTGTGCAGCACAACATTCTATACATTCATTTTGTATATCAGCGGACCAGTAACGATACTGCAAGCAGTGATGGGTTGCTTGAAACTCTTTCACTCTGCTGATACGTTCTTCAAGGTTGGGATCATAGTGGGCTATCAGCCCAAGATTCCCAAGAATGTTGCCATCATTAGGATATCCAATTTGTTGAGTTTCACCCCCAAATGCTAGGCCTCTTTCTCCAAGAAGCAATGTCTCATCTAATATTCTGTGAAGGATTTGTTTCCACACCGCTACTTCACTTCGAATTTTCTTTTGCAGTTGTTGATAAACTGTAATATAATATCCCAAGCATTTTTCTGGGGTTTGCCAAGTAACATAACGGGTTTTATGGTTTTTGGTTTCTTGGTGTTGAAATTTTGTCATACAACCTGATCCACTTAGGTTGGCTGCAGTATCCATTAACAGATGAAAGTGAGAAACAACCTGATGCTGGAAGAATACTAAATAGGCAGCAAGCTTGTTTGCTTTTACTCCAAACTAACTGGTCACGAAGGAAAGTTTCACTGTTTTGTAATCTAGCATGAAGAAGAGAAACTGGAAATGAACCTCACTGAACTGCTTCTTCTACCTCTGCAGATGTAGGGGCTTCACTCTGTAAAAAGCCAATATCAGAATCAAACTGCTGTATCAATGTTTTGCCTGCCAAAGCCTCAGATGACTCAGTGGCTGTGTGTGCCACATCCTCTGATGGCTCACTGAGTAAAGTGTGGTTAATGTCATGCAGTGTTCCCTCTAAGCTGAGTTAGTGTGAGGTAGCTCACAGTTTTTTAGCCTCCGGCTCACACATTTTTGTCTTAGCTCAGGAAGGAGGGCTCCAGAGCAAACTAATTTATGCAGCAGCCAAATCGCTCGCTCACAACTTTAATACCAGTAGCTCACTAAATAGAATTTTTGCTCACAAAACTCCACAGCTTAGAGGGAACATTGCCCATGATCTCCCCCCAAGTCCATCCTGAATCCATCCCTTTCCATTCACCAGCACCAAATGCCCCGCACAACCCCCTGCTATTCTCCTCACCCAGATCTAGGGATTGCCAACTTTTTTCTTACTAGCTCCTATTGCTGTGCCTCTCACAGCAGTTTGAACTGCAGGAACAAGCCAATAATAAATGTTTGCTCTGTTTTGTCAAAAGTGCCCTTGCTGATTTCGATAGATCAGGCTGCCATTAAAGGCAGAGGTGCAAACCAATCCTCTTTCTTGGTCAGTTGGCAGTCTTATCTGGAACTCCCACTGCTTTTTAGACACTGATCTTTTTCCTGGGATGCTAATTCTGAAGAACTGCCTGGAAACGTTTTTGCCTCTGCAGCATCACAATCAACAATCAACAAGGACAATAATACTTGCATTTATTATGTCATCAATTGGTTGTAGTATTGTCTTAAGTGTTTTACTTGTTTTTATTGTAATTTATGCACTTTTTTATGTAAGCCGCCCTGAGCTGGCCTCAGCTGGGAGGGCGGGGTAGAAATCTGACAAAATAAATAATAAATGTGATTCTTAACAGCCCTGCTCCCTCCATCATGGTCTTCTCTGGGCCATGAGTTAATTGAGAAGGGCCCCCCCCCCATTGTCTCCAGCTAAGGGCTCATGTACCAGATGACAATCCTTTTCTTGGGGAAGAGAAACTTCTCTATGCAGCTCAGGGAATGGTGCAAAGGGTGGGCTTTTTGCAATGCAGATAATGCAAGGAGGATGACGACAGATGAGGGACTGGCTGCTGCCATGCAAATCATCGTAGGAGGGAGAGAAGGAGTACATGATGCACCTGCTGCCTTCCCAGCATGCAAAGTGTGAGGCTGGCTGGCTACACAGGGACAGGGCGGAGTCAGGCAGAGGAAACTGAGCCAACCCCCAGCATCTGTCTCTCTCTCTCTCTCAGTCTTGTGTGTAAGAGAGAGTGCAGCCCAAATAGCAGAGCAGAGGCATTCCAGGGGAAGCTAAACTCTACTGTCAGCTGTTGGAGAGACCCAGCTGGGGGCCCTCAAACCCTCAAATGTCGTCTCCCCAGTCCCCCTTTCTCACCGGCTCTGTTTCAGTGAGCCAGTGTAGTGTAATGGTTAGAGTGCTGGACTAGGATCTGGCTTCCACTCTGCCATGGAAGCTTGCTGGGTGACCTTGGGGCCAGTCACCTCTTCTCAGCCTACCTCACAGGTTTGCTGTGAGAATAACATGGAGGGAAGGGATAATAATATTGTAAACTGACTTGGGTTCCCATTGGGTGAGAAGTGGGGTATATATATCTCAATAAAATAAAACTTGTGCCTCTCCTAGAGGTACTGAAAACACCTCTTTTGCTCCATTGGCCTACCTTCTTTTAACATCGGAAAAGCCATCCTCCATATTTAGACAGACTGAATGCTCCTTGGAAAGATTTTATGTACATCCTTTTGCTTACCTTTTGGAGGTTAACCCCCTGAGTGTCAAGCATGCAAATTAAACATTTATCTTCTGGGGTTGTAATTTTTACACAGTTAGGGTGAAGTGACACTTCACCCCACAGATAAGTGAGATTATCTTCCTTTTTATATCATGGCTATCCCGAAAATTCCCAGACCAGGAAATCATGCTGCAATTATCCTATTTTCTGCTAGTGGCTCAGAGTTCGACAGCTGAAGGAGGAGAAGATGAGGAAAGTGAGCGGGAATCTGAGACCCCTGATCCCAGCAGAGGTTTCAGAGGAACCATGGAAGCAGACCGCGGAATGGGGGATCGTGTCAGTTCGACAGAAGACATCGGAGATAGCAGTGCTGCTGCCAGCAGCTCTTGCCCTAGCTGGCTGCGCAAGGTGACCATTTCCAAATTGACTTTTCTGTAGTCTCTGGGGTCAGAAGATAAAAGAAAAGTGATCTTTTCCCACCAAAGACCTAGAAGATGTGGCTGAGAGGCTTATCTCTAGACATGAATTTGCAGTTCTTTAAACGATCACAGGAAATCTGTTTCAGAATCACTTCTTTGGAGTCTTTCTTAAGGCAGTAGTTGGAATTGCTTGATGGGTGAAGCTTCTTGGCTAACCTGTTCAGACCAACACAAAGCAGATCTTATTTAGAAGGATAATCCACCTGGAATTTCAACTCAGGATCAAAAGGGGGGTCCAAGGAAGGAGATCCTGCTGCTGCTACTTTAACAGCTAATAGGTGTTCATAGCTGATTTTTCAACCATTGCAGAGAACTCACTGACTAAGTAGATTTTTGTGGTAAGTTAACAATACCCCATTTAGGACAGTTTTGAGGCTGTGTACCTAATGTTGGGATGGAGAGGCAGCATTGGTATTCTGTTGGTGTACCACCCATCCTACTGCTTAGTAGTCTCCCTGCTTGATCTGACAGAGGTGGTCTCGGCGGGAGGGGTGGTACTGAAGACCTCCAGGCTGGTTGCCCCAGGGAACATCAGCATTCATGCCGAGGCTATCTTGTCTGGAGAGGCTTAAGATTTCATGGCCTCCACGACAGCCATGGGCCTGTCTCAGAAAATAAGTGGACCTACACATTGTGCAGGTCACAACCTTGATCTGGTATTTTGTTCTGGGTGGGGTGAATGATCTCAGGGAGAAAGATTTGATGATGGTTCCTTTGTCATGGACACTATTTGCTTGGGTTCAGATTTACAGAGATACCAGGACAATAGACAAGATCTATTAAAATAATCTGTCTCTGTAGCCAGCTGGATCTGAATGGCTTTCTGACTGCTCTAGGGGGTTTCACTGTTGATATGGTTGGTGTTCCTGGTGATGCCACCATGAGTGAAGTCTGGAATGAGGAAATGACCCCTGGCAGTGGACACGATCACTCCCAGGTGCCTCTCTCAGATGTTAGAGCCCAGGTAGCCCGTTATTTTACTGAGGGGCTGTGGGTAATGAAAAGGCAAGAGAGATGGCAAGAACAACAGTAGAGGAAGACTTGGGACAAATCCTACAAGACTTGGACTAAAGCTCATTTTGAAGCATATTCTGTGGCGGTGATGGTGGCAAAGAAAAAAAATACTTTTTTGCCATCATTGTGTCTGCAAACTATTTTCCAGTGGAGCTGTTCCAGGTGGTCAGAGGCTTGGTGGGATCAGACCTGCAGGAAGACTCCTCAGTGGCCGACTGTGACTATTTTGCACAACACTTCGTAGATAAAATCTCTTGCATCCTTACCAACTTCGACTCTACATTAGCAGTAACAAAGTCAGATGATGTCAGTGTTCCAACTTGTCCAACTGTTGGGACATTTTTCAATTTATTCATCTGAGGATGTGAACAGAATCCTTGAAGGTTTAAGGCTTACCACCTGCTTGTATGTCCCTTGCCTTTCTAGCTACTTAAATCGGGGGGGGGGGGCTGGCTGACTGACTGGATCTGAGAGGTAGTGAATGCCTCCTTGAGAGGGGCTATGGTCACCCCAGCTTTGAAATAGGCTGTGGTGCATCCACGACTAAAGAAGTGTACTCTGTACCCAGGAGATTTCATATCCTCGTTGGGGACTATGTGGCCAGCAAGACCCCATCATGCTGGCAACCCATAGGGACCACATTACTCAATTCTTGGCCTATTTGCACTGCCTCCCAATCTGTTTCCAGGCACAATTCAGTGTGCTGGTGTTGACCTTTAAAGCCATATATGACTTGTAACAAGCATACCTCAAAGACTACCTACTCCCTTATGAACCTGCCCAAGTACTACAGTCATCATTTGAGGACCTGGTTCGGGTGCCCCCTTAGGTAGGTGGCAACTTGGGAGGGGCCTTTGCAGTTGTAGCACCAAGTCTTTGTAACACTGGTATTCAGAGAATTATTGCCTCTGAATGTGGAGGTTACTTTTAGTCCTTTTAGTAGCTAATAGCTGCTGATAGACCTGTCCTCCCTGAATCTGTCTAATTCCCTTTTAAAGCCCACTATGTCTGTGGGCTTCAGGAAATACTCTGGCAGCATATTAGACATTTTAACCAACTGTTGAATAAAACAGTATTTCCTTTTGTCTGTCCTAAATCTACTGCCAATAAACTTCATTGTATGCCCTCAAGTTCTAATACTTTGGGATAGGGAGAAAAAGCTCTCTCTTTACACCCTCTCTACCTCATAATTTTGTTTCAGTTTTCAGTTTAGTCCCAGCCTCTTCAGATTTTTCTCATAGGAAAGGTGCCCTTAATCATCTTAGTTGCCATCTTTTGTACGTTTCCAAGCTCTGCAATGTCCTTGTTGACATATGGTGACCAGAACCGCACACAGTATTCCACATGAGACCTCACCATAGATTTATATAGGGGTATTAGAACATTGGTTATTTAATTTTCAATCCCTTTCCTAATAATTCCAAGCATAGAGTTTGCCTTTTTCACTGCTGCAGCACACTGTGTTGTAGCTTTCATTGAACTATCCACTGTAGCCCTAAGGTCTCTTTCCTTCTCAGTATCAGCAAGTTCAGAACCCTGTAACACATACTTACAGTTGGGGAATTTTTGTTCTAGTGCCCATCACCGTCTGCTTACCTTCATTGAATTTACATGCCAAATTGTTGCTCTCTTACCAATTTGTGGAGATCCTCCTGGAGCTCTTCAGTCAACATTGGTTTTCATCATCCTGAATAATTTTGTGTCCTCTGCAGAAATATGGCTACTGTAACGCTCACTTCCAGTTCCAGATCATTTATGAACAAATTAGCACTGGCTGCAATAATGATTCTTGTGGGACTGCAGTTTATTTCTTTCCACTGAGAAAATTGTCCATGTATTCCTACTCTCTGCTTCTTGTCGTTTAACCAATTTTTAATCCATAAGAGGACATGTCCTCTTGTCCCATGACTGCTACACTTATGCAGGAGTCTTTGGTGAGATACCTTGTCAAAAGGCTTTTGGAATTTCCGAGTATTGTCTACCAGGTTGCTCTTATATACGTGTTCGTTCATTTTCTCAAAGAGCTCCAAATGGTTGGTGAGGCAGCCCTTTACAGAAGCCATGCCAATTTTACCTCAGTAGGCTTTGCTCCTCTGTGTGCCTAATAATTCTGTCTTTGATTACAGTTTCTACTAATTTGCCTGGGACAGACATTAAGGTAACTGGCCTGTGATTTCTTGGTTCTCCCCAGATCCTTTTTTAAAAATTGGTGTAAAGTTTGCTACTCTCCAGTCTTCTGGTACAGCGGCTGAATTTACATGTACTGGTTAGTAGATCAACAGTCTCACATTTGAGTTCCTTAAGAACCCTTGGGTGTATGCCGTGAGGACCTGGAGATGTACAGGGTTTTATTTTTCCCAGTATCTCTAGAACTTCATCTTTTTTCACCATATCTTGACTTATTTCTTCAGTCTTTCTTCTTGAAAATAGTGGCTGCAGCCTGGGTACATGCCCCACTCTTGCCCCGGTGAACACAGATGCGAAGCTTCTCTGACATCTCCCTTTAGCAATCCTTTTATTCCTTTTATTCCTTTAGCAATCCTCCAAAGGCCCCACTGCTTCTCTTTTTGGTTTCCTGTACTGGATATTTTTAAAGAAATGTTTACTCTTTTTCTTGATGCTTTTAGCAATCCGCTCCCCAAATTCTCTTTTTGCAAGAAGGTTTTTTGCCTTTCGTGGCTTTCTTAACATGGGTTGTTACTGTGTGGGCATCCTTTTGGACTTGGGCGTACCTTCCCTAACCTGGGAAATACATTCTACCAGGGTTTCAATTAGTGTGGTTTTAAATAGCTTCCAAATATCCTCTAGGGATTTGATTCTCTTGTGTTTCCATTTCAGCTTCCTTCTGACTAGTTCCCTCATTTTTGCAAAATTCCCTCCTTGGAAATCAAATGTTACTGTTCTGGCTTTTATGGGTAACTTACCATTGACATGAATGCATTGTGATCACTGCTCCCAGTTCGTGCAGCAACAACCTCTTGCAGTTAGTAGGTAGAGGAAATGGACTCAGGAGCCAAAGCTGGACCAAGGCACAGTTTACTTTGCTCACTATCTGCTGGTACATATATACTGACTTCCAGTGTATTTATACACAGACTGTGACTGCAGCCCTCTCAGCATTCATGGAAAGGTTTTCCATCTTCTAGTCAGAAATCTTCCTATATCCTTGATTCTTATTCTTCAGGTGGTAGTTAACAGTGTAAAGAAATGCTGACCCAGAATTCTCACCCTTTCTCTGTGACTAGGAGCTGGAGAATGCAGAGTTCATCCCCATGCCTGAAACACCTTCTCTTGTAAGTCTAGCCTCCTCAGGATCTGAGAAGGAGACTCTTCCCTACGAAGAGTTGAAGGGACTCCACTTGGCATCTCCTCCTCCTGTTGATACCAACAAGTCCACAACAGAGTCCTGGGTAATGTAACCTTTTGTCCTCTTATGGAACCTTTCACAGTGGTTTGGAGCTACGGGCAGAAATCGTGCTCACAGAGATTGGCTTAAAAGAGAGTGTTTATATAAAAAGAAAGGATAAGGGGCACGCTAATGATGTAAAATGAGATTACTAGATTGACAAGATACACAGTATATTAAGGTAAGATAATTCAGACCAGCCTGAACATGGACTGTACATGTGAAAGTGTCTTTTTTAAGGCTAGTTAATATGGTTGGTGAAAAATTAACCCCAAGACCATTTTAGGGGAAGACCAGACTGGTGAGAGTATTTAAGGACGTCATGGTCTGTTCTGCCCCTATAGAAATCGGGGGGGGGGTGTTGTTCATTCTCATTTCTCGTAAGATCAGAGGCCCTCCTGACTTTCCCACCAATCAAAGAAGCTCATCTTGTGGGCACATGAGATTGGGCCTTTTCAGTGTTAGCCCCACGGTTATGGAACAACCTCCCCAGGGCAGTAAGCCTCGCCCCCTCCCTTTGTCTTCAGGAGGCAGTCAGTTTTATTTGTCTAATTAAGATTTGACTAATTTAGTTTTTTAATGTATTATTTTGTTTTATTTATTTATTTGATTTATACTCCGCCTTCCCCACTAAAGCAGGCTCAGTCCTAATCAAGATTTTAAATGGAGGTCTTCAATGTGTTTTTTATAATCATTTATATTGTAATCTGCCTTGAAGTCTACACGGTAGAAGGTTGGCTAATAAATTTTTTAAATAAGAAAATAACATAAATATTCAGCGATCTAAACAGGGCTGAGGGAGGGGTTTTAAATTTTTTTGCAATAGATGTTAATAGCTACAATCAGAACCTTGATATTATTCCCAAAGGAGGGAGTGATTCAGGTTTGTGGCTGGAGAGTTGGCAACAGTTTGTCTTTGAGCTAATATTTTAGTGTACCAGTTTTTCAAGAATTCTGATTCCAATATTTAGTATTTTGATCCGTCTCTCCTGAGCATCCATAGTTTTTTACTGTGTCTTGGGACGTCATCGGTCTTGAAGATTTTATTTGTTTGTAGATACTGACAGATTTATTCCTGAATCCTCCTCCCTGTGTAGCAGCACCTCTTTGATACAGCAGAAGCTTGCAGTGCAGAGAAGACATCTGTGGTGCCGACAGCATGCAAGTGCAGTTTGCTGCAGGCTGAACTAGAACGACTGAATGGTTTGGTATTAAAATGCTTGGCTGACCAGAAGAAGCTGCAGCAGGAAACGGCTCGTCTCAGTGCTCAGCTTCAGAGTCTTTCTAGGACGGAAGGAACACAGCCGGTAAGGGTGCCTTCTGAGGAAACTGGCAGATTTATATGCCAGATGTTAAGTGTTCTTGCAGTCCACTGAAACTGGTTTGGATTTATATCTTGACTTTGGACAGACCAAAGAGGCTAGAGTGTAGCAGAGTAACTTAGGCTCTTTATATTTCTTTTGTTTGAAAAAGTTGATTGAGGCAATAGTGGTCTGGTTGTAAGATGGAAGTTTCTCCATCAGTTGTGGTCTGGGGAGCTAATGTCAGCCTGAACTAGAAGCAGGAAGGGTCTTCCTTTACATCATTCCACGTATGTTTTTCTTCATTGCTTTTGTGTGGAACATTTTAGATGTACAGTCAGGGGAAAGTTATGATGGTGAAATAATAGTTGCTTCTCTTTTCAGCTCTCTTTCTCATATAAAGCTGGAGGTGGGGAATTGTCCTGTTACTTTTTAAGAGAATTTTTATGTCCAGTTAATTCATTGTTGTAGAGGCAGATGAGGAAGTCTCTGAGAAGTAATCGGGTTCTTGTAATACTTCCTTACAATCTGGGCAAATGGGTGTTAGCCTTTGCACTTCAGTATTTTACTGTTTGTACATTTTTGTGTACAATAATGGAACTCAGCACAACTGTAATTAACATAGATATCCAGTTAATGTAATATGTCAACTATACCTTTACTATATGGAGAATGATTTTCTTGTTTATCTGGACAGTTGGAGGCTCATACCAAAGCCACACAAACATCTAAGGAAGAGATGGAAGCGGATCCAAAGCCTGACTTGGATTCTGACTCCTGGTGTCTCCTGGGACCTGATTCATGCCGCTTCAGTCTCTAGTCTTTTGAGTCCACTGGAATCCATCCAATTTCACAGCACGCTAACTGAATGCAAGAGCAGCTCTCCTGAATCCAGGTCTTTTGTGAAAAAGGAGATTAGATTCTCCAGAACAACATCCCTGTATGCGTGTGTGTGTGTGTGGAGGACCCTCTTAAGCTATGAGCATAGAGAGTGGCAGAGCTCCAAGCTCTAGCCAGGGGCATACTCCAATATCAGAACAGCAGCAAGCTCTCGTTATATCAGCCTGTCCTTAAAGTCAAGTAGCCACACCACAGGAATTACTCTAATTGCTGTAATCTCTTCATTCTTTCACAACTTCCCGAGGGCAATATTTGAGCCCCCAACATTAGTCACTTCATCTTCAGGCAAGTAAAAGGAGAAAACTATGTATCAAAATTGACTGGGCCCCAATATCGCAGTCAGGTTGAAAATGTCCTGAAAGGTTAAGGGGCAGGACCCCTGCCTCTGTGGGAAGCCAGGAAAAGAGCTTGCTCTGAATGTAGATGAGAGCTTGCAAAACAGAGAAATGGTAGCACTTACGTCTTTCACTTCAGATGCATTTCTAGCCCTATATCCTCCAGTCTGTACAGAACGTGTTTAAAGCTTTAACTTAAAGGGATGTTTGGGAGAGGATCTCAGGCACCCATTTTTAGCACTTCCTGCTAAGCAGAAACAAACAAACAAACAAAAAACTAGCTGAAGCTTCCTGTTATCCAAGAAGAGTTCTCAACAGCTGTTTTCAAGCCAGAGAAGGAATGTGTAGAATTTGAATTTAGACAGTTATTTGTTCCATCTGTTCAGCTTGATTTGAATACCAGAACTTCTCTGGTTGTGTGCCTGGTTTCTTAGAAGAGCTGTTGAACGTCTCTTACTCTACCCCCTACCCCAATTTTTGCTTCCTGTCCAGTATCTGAGCCCAGAAGGCAGCTGTGCAGGCTTTAACAATGCACTGTGAACATACTACTGGCAGTGCTTGGCCATATGTCACTTCAAAGCCTTTTGTATACTATCAGTAACAAACTGTTTATGAAGTAACTTTGATTGCAGGATAGTCCATTTTCCCATTAACTATTGAAAGTGATACTTTTGCTAATTAGTTTGCCCAATTGATTAAAATATGGAGTAGACATATCTCCTGGTGGGCACATCTGTGTTCCTCTCCACAGTTCCTGACAGTCTAACCTAACTCTCTAGAATAGTCTCTGTACCTTCCTTGTATTCCTTACTTTTGATCTATCAAGATGGGTAGCTGTGTTAGTCTCTCTCTAGCAGTAGAAAAGAGCAAAAGTCCAGTAGCACCTTAAAGACTAACAAAATATGTGGCAGGGTATGGGCTTTTGTGAGTCACTGCTCACTGAAGAAGTGCTACTGGACTTTTGCTCTTTTCTACTGTTACTTTTGATCTGGTTGTGTTATATTGTGATCTTGGTCTCCCATACTCCTGTCTCTAAGATCTCTAGGTACACTTCTCTTCTAGAAGTATACTCAGGCTTATGAAATATTTTCTGGCTGGAGATGGGTGCCAGAGCATCCTTCTAGGAATAGCACATTTTTTTAAAGCTTTACCTGGTTCAGTTTTAAACCAGTATATAGAAAAGAAGCAGGCAGGTTTTTTTCCTGTGTTCAGCCCCAAGATCAAGGAGGCTTGCCTTCTTTACTATTGGAGGGGAACACAAAGAACCTGAATATAATGAATTCCAAATTGTTCAGCAGATGATTGTGACATTTGATTGTTCTTTATACACGGGATCTCCTGTAAGTATTGGAGCTGCTTTGTATGAAAGTTATACAGTAGGGATTTTGTAAGAAAAGAACTAAGCCTGGGCCATGTCCAGTATAGATTGACTGAGCTGATGGGGGTTGCTCTCCTGCAGTGCACTGCTATCTTTATTTCTCAGTGTTCCATGTTGGAAAACAAAGTGCAGTGTTTCCCTTGGAGCTACTGTAGTAGTGGATTACTATACTGAGAGGGACCTGTGCTTCACAGCAATATGTGCCTTAATAACGGATTCACACTGTCCAATATGTGCCTGTTACAGACCACGATTTATGCACCAACTATTTTATGCAACCAAAGAAGCATTTTAACGCAGACCTTGTTCTGGACTTGTGAGTGAAGGACAAGTGGGCCAGGATGCCTTGGAGCGGTTTCAGACCCACATCCCTTCCCCATCCAACAGTGCTAATTATGCAGATGTTGGTCTCTTGCTAGCACTGTTGTTGATTTGTTATAGTAGATCATGTCTTATATCTGCACTGACACTAGCTGAAAACTAGTTTGTCATTATCTATGAGATGTTCATTGGTGGAATGGTTTGAAGTTTTCTTTTAAATAAACATTGACACTTATTAGCCTACATGTCCTGGCTCTTTTTAAAAGAAGGTGATACTTGCTTACCTGCACCTCCCTGGTGGCTATGTCAGCACTGAAGTTCTGATTTTGCTAAGATGGAACAAACTTGCTCACTTTAAGTTTACATTGTTCTACACTTGCCACAATGTTAACATGAAAGGAAGTGCCTGCATTCTTCAGTAAGAGTGTGCCTCTTTACTCCTATACAACTTAACCATTGTATACTATCAATCACTACATTAACATGACAGGAGTAACCTGTATTGGTGAGATATCTCTGCTTTAGTTGAGTTGCTTTTGATAGGTTTTTATGTCTCAGACATGTGATTGAGAATGGGTTCTCTGCTTTCTGAAAATACTTGGAGATGATATCTACCCTTTCTGACATGTATGCTTGGTAAAGAGTAAACAAGTATATTTGCTGAAGATAGCAGGAGTACACACTGTATCTGCTGAAGTGCGATGTGTTTCTCCTAGCCAATAAACACTCTTGGGAACAGGCTGTGTGTACTTTGACAATAGAATAAATATTATGTAGCCCAATAAACAGTGGTCAAATTTGGTTGAATTATTCTATTTGTATCATGGGGAAGGATAAGAATTCCTTTGAAGCAGGATACTAAATTTAGACTTTTAGACTCCTAGGCTATGCCCAAAAGGTGTACACTATTGTACATGCTGTGAAACTGTCTTACACTGAATCAGAACCATTGTTCCATCAAGGTCAGTACCCTCTGCTCAGACTGGCAGCAGCACTCCAGGGTCTCATGCTGAGGACTTGCACATCATCTATGACCTGTTCCTCCTAGAAATGCTGGGAACTGAATCTGGGACCTTCTGTTACTAGGTCAGTGGTTACAGTGCTAATATTTTCAAATTTTGATATTTTAAAATGAGTTTCCCCCCCCAGGATTCTACTCCGTAGCCACAGAAAACACTGGTCTTATTAAAAACCATTGTGAAATGCATTAAACGGTATCCATGTAATCTGTCAAAAAGCTCATTATGAGAGACAGGAGATTCATAGACTGCAACCCTTGTGTGTATGGGGTTCTTTTTTACAACAATCCACTTATGAATTAAACTACTGCTGTATTCCCATCTTCAAAGAATGCCTGCCCATCTCTATTCAGTATGTAGCTTAGCTTGCAAATTGAACAGGTGAGAAGGAAAATGGTTGCCTTACATCTGAAGGTAAGCATTGTTATAGGGCTTGATCTGAGCCAGAAGTCAGTCATAAGATGTAAGCACTTCTGAGTGTGTAAAATCTTCCCTTCATGCATGCAGTACTCCACAGAATTGGAATTAAAGGCTACGTTTCAGAGACCAGAAATTTAACTGGCTTTGCTGAGGAAGGAGGCAGGGGTCAGCACTTTTCTGTAATATCACACAATTGCATGTTGTCATAGCTTTCACTTTGTACAAAACATGTTTCTAGTTTTTATAAGAACTGTTTATTGAGGAGACTTTTCTAATTTATTTATTTAATAACATTTATATCCCACCTTTCCTCTTGCTTCCAGGCGGCTTACAAATAATAGCTAAACATCCCAACCTAAAACCAAAGGTAAAGTAACAACCCCAATTCCTCCTGCTATTCAAACCCCCTCCAAAACTCTGGCAAACAGGAGGGGGGCTCCTCTCATTTCTTCAGGGAGCCCATTCTGCAGAGCTGGAGCCATGATGGGAAAAGCCTGGGCCCTGGTCAATGCCAGACTGGCCACCCTAAGTGGTGGGCTAGCCGATAGATGGCTGCCTGGTGGTGCACAGGAACATACGGAAGATGATGATCCTTCAAATATGTGGGTCCTAGATTCTGATGGAAAAAGCCTCCCTGGCAGTCTTTGAGCAGTGACTGGACAAACACTTGTCAGGGATGCTCTAGGCTGATCCTGCATTGAGCAGGGGGTTGGACTAGATGGCCTGTATGGACCCTTCCAACTCTGTGATTCTATGATAAGTGCTTTAAAGGTCATAATGCACTTGGAAACAGACAGGCAGCCAATGAAACTGTTTCAAAATGGGCAGCATATATTCCCTTTGCCTAGCCCAACAGCAGTTGGAGTGCTACAATCTGGACAAGTTGTAGTTTCCAAGTCGTCTTTAGGGGCAGCCCCAGATATAATGCATTACAGTAATCCAACTGTGAGGTTACAGAAGCATGGATCAATGTGGTCAGATCAGCTGAGTCTAGGTAATGAGAAAGTTGGCAGATCAGATGCAGGTGATAGAAGGCAGCCTTGACCACAATGCCAACCTGCTTTTCAAGCAGGAAGGCGGGGTCCATGAGCACCCCAAGCTCTTAATCTGCTCTGAAAAAACCAACATTACACCTTCTGGGACAAAAGGATTCAGTTCCTCTAGAATATCAGCCTTCTCAACTAGCATTACCTCTGTCTTGTCTGGATTCAGCTTCAGTTTGTTCTGCTTTACCCACCTAACCACAGCAGCAAAGCACTGGTTCAGAACCAAGATGGATGAATCTGGAGGCTTGTTCTACGTACAGGTGACACCCAACCCCAAAACTCTGGACTATCTCACTCAGCAGATCTTAGTTGAAGAGCATGAGTGAGAGAATAGAACCCTGAGGTACACCACAAGACAAATCCCATCTGGTTGATTCTTGCCCTCTAGTGGAGGTCTCTGTGTCTAGTTAGACAGAAAAGAGTGAAACCAACTCCATATTCAGGCTGATGGATAAATATGGAGCAGTCAACTGTATAAAAGGCCACTGAGAGGCCCAACAGTATCAGCAGGGAAGACTGTCCCGTCCATATTTAAATGAAAATCATCCACCAGTGCAATTGAAGTCATAGTGCCAAACCCTAAGCCATTACTGAATAGAAATAGGATCTGAATTTAGAAACTGTTTGGAAACTGTTTTCTTAGGTGGATGTAGGAGAACTACAAAAACAAGCATTGCTACTTTGTTAGCTACTCTGAGCACATGCAGAAAACAAGGGGCAAGAGAGAGCCTATGTGCCATTGGGAAAAGCTGTACCGGCTTCAACCTTTTGGGATTTTGTTTGTAAGTGAAGTTCTGGAATATTTTACAACCATTGTGTCATACTCCCAGTATACAAGTTTCTTAAAGGTGCACACTGTCTGAATCTTATATCCTAAATTTTCCCAAAGTCAAGCACTTCAGTGATTTCCAGCATACTTTAACAACCAGTGAGGTGAAGTAGGAGTTTGTGGACACCACCTCTTTTATACCTGCCTTCTTTAAAGCAATATAAAGAATACACATTTAGCCTGCACTTTGAAAATATGGGTCAGAGAAAAGCTGTAGGTATTACAAACCACAAAACCTGTTAAAGCTTTGCACTGTATAAAGTGAGACTGTGTTTTGGGGGACAGGTGTGACACATATTTTGGCAATACGGCATGCTTTACAGTCTCACATTCATTAACGTATATTTTCCCCATTGTCCAAATTACCATCTTTCATGAATAGCAAAGTGAGTTTGTTACTGGAAAAAGTACACATGCAAGCTGGGAAAAGTACACATGCAAGCTGAACCATTCTGCTTTTAACACACTTGTTCTCCTTACTTGTCAAACACTCTCCCTGGCTGGCTCACCCCAATGCCTACCTTCTCATGAACTACATCACTTTTCCTGAGGGTACAGTTACATATAAAGAGGTGGGAACTGAACTTCTCCAAGCCCCATGTAGTGGTTAAGAGTGACAGACTCTAATCTGGAGAACCAGGTTTGATTCCACACTCCCCAACATGAAGCCAGTTGGGTGACTTTGGGTCAGTCACAGTTCTCTCAGAACTAATTGTTGTAGATTTTCTGGGCTGTATGGCTGTGGTCTTGGCATTGTAGTACCTGACATTTTGCCAGCAGCTGTGACGGGCATCCTCAGGGATGCACAGAAAGATGGAGTACAGCCTGGAAAATCTACAACAACTAATGAACTCCGGCCATGAAAGCCTTCGACAACATCTCTCACAGAACACTCTCAGCCCAAAAAATAATGCCTAGCTCACCACCTAGTGGTGCATAATGCTAAAAGAGCTACAACTTTTGACTGCTAAACAATCTTAGGATCTCCTGACTATACTAAACACACTGCCATACGATTATTATTATTATTATTATTATTACTCCCATGATCAGTGTTCCCTCTAAGCTGAGTTAGTGTGAGCTAGCTCATAGTTTTTTTAGCCTCTGGCTCACGCATTTTTGTCTTAGCTCAGGAAGGATGGCTCCAGAGCAAACTGATTTATGCAGTAGCCAAATCACCTGCTCACAACTTTATTGCCAGTAGCTCACAAAGTAGAATTTGTGCTCACAAGATTACACAGCTTAGAGGGAACATTGCCCATGATCTCCTACAGCTATTTTCTCACAGACTGTCTTGAAGAAATGTTGATTTACTAGTATTTACAAGTGATTAAAAATGGCTTTAAAACCCAGATGTGAGAGGGTGGTATGCAGTGTTTCAAGTAGGTATTGCCCCTTCCCACTCCTGTTATGTTTTGACATTCAAGATAGATAAGAATGCTCTTTACTACAGTGTCCAGCCTAGGTAATTATAAGGCCTTCATTTCAGCTCTGTTCCTGGCAACGGTATTGCATATAAGAACAAAGAATGTTTCTCTTAAATATATTTCATAAAGAGCCTAAAATGACTACAAGGATTTAATGAAGTTTGGGGGAATCCTGGTCTTCTGAAAATTTTCAGTAGTATCTCTGACCCAGCACCGTGGCAAGAGCCAGACAAAATTTAAGTGCTTCCGTATACAATGCAAGGGATTCTTATGAAGAAATGCACAGAAGAAAGAATCGGGATCAGTCAGTGGTAGTAGTGATACCAACTGAGGCTTCCTTAAGAACATAAGAGAAGCCAATGTTGGATCAGGCCAATGGCCTATCCAGTCCAACAACACAGTGCCCAAAAATACCATGTGCCATCAGGAGGTCCACCAGTGGCTCAACCCAACTGCTCAGCAATTTCATGGAGTGCCCACAAGTTTTTGTATTGTGAGAAAGGGAGAAAAGTACTTTCTCAACCTGCACTATCCCATGCATAACCTTATAAACTTCGATCATGTCACCCCTCAGCCGTCGTTTCTCCAAGCTAAAGAGCCCCAAGCACTTTAACCTTTCTTCATAGGGAAAATGTTCCAACCCTTTTAACATTCTAGCTGCCCTTTTCTGCACTTTTTCCAATGCTGTAATATCCTTTTGATGTGTGGTGACCAGAACTGTACACAGTACTCCAAATGAGCTCGCACCATTGATTTATACAGGGGCATTATGATACTGGCTGATTTGTTTTCAATTCCCTTCCTAATAATCCCCAGCATAGCGTTGGCCTTTTTTATTGCAGTCGCACACTGTCTCGACATTTTCAGTGAGTTATCTACTACAACTCCAAGATCTCTCTCTTGGTCAGTCTCCGCCAGTTCAGACCCCACCAACATGTATTTATAGTTAAGATTTTTGGCTCCAATGTTAGGATTTTTTAATCCAATGTGTGTCACTTTGCACTTGGCCACACTGAACCCCATTTGCCACTTTGACGCCCACTCGCCCATCCTCAACAGATCCCTTTGGAGTGCCTCACAATCCTCCCTGGTTTTTAAACTATTTTAAGAAGTATTGATCATAATACACAACATGAGGGATTTAATAATCTACTCACAATTTGTGGGTAATAATCTACTCACAACTTTACACACCTGTATTTTTTGTTTGAAAAAAATGAAGCCACAGCCATTAGAATGCTCTCTGCTATTTGTCCTGTCAAACTGAGGGAAATGGCAGAGGGTGCCAATGTAACTACTCCTGTTGAAGTTTTCACTTGGGTCTGTTACTAGCAACGTCTCTTTTGCTGTGGTGGTGGTGGTGGTCTATTCTTAATGTTTTTGCACTTGGGAATGTGTCTCCCGGCTACCTTAGGGGCAAACTGACGTGTGCAGTACGGGCACAATTTGTAGTCTGGATTCTCCATGGGGGGTGCTGGAAGAAGGTCTGAGGCCTTCCCCCCTTTGGAGATTACTCGTTGCACCTCACGAGCCCTACGCAGTGTGTTGATGAAAGATTCATGCTTCTGTCTCCAGTTGCTTTGATTAGATTGCATACTGCTTTGCTTGGAGCCATCACTGCTTATGGTCGAAGTTCTTTTCTGTAGTGACAAAGGGGAGAAGGAAAGCCATTAGTGTAATCTTGTTGCTTCAAAATGTACAGTCTTTCCTGCCAGTGTTCTTGATGTAAACCCAAATCAGTTGTCCTATGTGTGAAAGTGGGACATTTCTGTTGCTGTAAATTCCCAGTCCTTCGAAGCAGTTAAACAAATGGAGCCCCAAGATGCATGTGTATGGCTGGTGGCCTCAGCAGGTATAGAGATAGGGCTTATACAGAAAAATGCATTTTAAAAGGCATGGGAGCTTCCTTACATTCCACTGCAGGCCTACACTTCCTCTCTAATCCAAAGCCACCGCTATTTTTAATATCTGAATATTATACCGTAGTTGGAGTGCAGATGAAATCACTTGAACTGGGAAGGATTAACAGAATTAACTTTGTGAAAGTGTACAGACTTTCTGAAAGAGCAAGCTTCCAACTCCACTAGAGTCTGCACTATAATCAAGTGTGAAAATTTTCTTCATCCCCATGATCCTTTGCTGTACCCTGCTAAACTCCTGACCTCAATGCTGTTTGTAGCATGGTTTTACAGATTAGTTGTGGGTGACTCAGCTTGATTAGTTATGGTTCTTTCTGTACTATGAAAGAAGCTATACAAACTATACTTATCTAAACAAAGTCTTGGTGTCAATCAAAACCTTACTGAGTCTCCAGTTACTTTTTCAAGTTCTTTACTCAACATAATTGATGTTTGACAGTCATTATACACAGAACTGCATTTAAGAGGGTAAGTGCAAATTAAAGGTACTTTTGGATTATCAGGGTGTATAAGGGAGGGAAGATAGCATGGTATAGCCTGATCTCGTCAGATCTCGGGAGCTAAGCAGGGATGGTACTTGGAAGGGAGACCATCAAGGAAGGCTGCAGAGGAAGGCATTGGCAAAACCACCTCTGCTTCTCTGCTTCCATATTCTTTAGGGATGATTCCAAAGAAAAGAGAATTGAGCTGCACCTTAGCTAGACAAGGTGGGAACTAGAGGGTGGTCCAAGAGCATTTGATGTAATTACATTTTTAAAGGGTGGATAGCTTGGCAGACCCATGGGAATCACTCTGCTTCACAGATCAGAAATAGTATATAAGTAGGTAAGTGTCTTACCTGAGAAGGATCCGAGCCCATCAAGAGATTATATGCCTCTAATTCAGTGCCCTTTGCTCTGGCTTTACTTGAATCAAATACTTTTCTCTTGGAGCCATGATTCTTGCTGCAGATACTTATGTGCTTCTCCAACCTGGAACAGTAAAGCTTCCGTCCACAAAAACTGCATTCACCCCAGTCTTCTACACTACTTGGTGCCTCCATGTATGGTAGTGGTGGTGCTCCTGCCATACAGTCAGGCTGTCCTAAAAGGAGTGCTGTTGGAGGCTGGTCATGCCTGGAAGCCACCTCTGGACAAAGAGCTGCATTTTCCTGGGCAACATTTTCTCGAATTTTACTGTTGCTAGCCATCAACCGTTGTTTTTTGAGCGTTTCCATATGGAGCTCTAAGGGAACTGGGGTCATCTCTGTGGAAGCTACAGGGATATTCGGAGCAGTTTTCCTGTGACCATCACTTGGCTGGGCTCTAGATCTGGAAAGGTGCCTCCAAGAGATGTCTGCTGCTTTCCTCTCAGGCATCCATAGTCCTCGCTCCTTTCTTGCTTTCACCTCTGCCTGCTGCCTCTCCCACTGGATCCTCCGGAGCTCCTCTTCTGTCCTCCTCAGCTTCTCCCTGAGTAGAGCCTCTTTCCTCTGGATCTCCTGCTCCAAATTCCTACCAGCAGCCTCCAGTTTTTGAATGTACCCTGACTCTGCCCTTCTTGGATGAGAACCTTCTCTCTTTGATTGCTCGATTGAAACAGGAAAAGGCACTCCAACATGCTGGGCCTTGACTGCATATGATCTTCCTTTTTTCTCTGAGCTAATGTTAGGAGAAGGTGTCTCTGTAGCTGGTGGGTTTGCAACTTGCCAAGAGCTAGGTGTGGAGCCATTCTCAGCTTTTTGATGAAAGACTGGCTTTAGTGGGTATGCCCTGTCTACACCTCTCCGCTTGGGTCTCCAGTGGGAGGATAGAGTGCTAGCTTGTTTCTTGAGGTACCAGTTGTGAGGACCAGCTGACCAGAAGCCGGCATTCTCCGAAATCAGCTGGCTACTTTCTGCAGGCTCAGAACAGGAAGCACTCCGGCCTTTTTGGATATAAACATCTTTTAGCTTCTTATCTTTGTTAGACAGGAGTTGTTGCTGGATATTAGCCCTCAGGTGTTCTAACCTTGGCTGTTCTCTAAGGGCCTCTGCATGACATTTCTCCTGGCTTGTCGCAGGAAGATTGGGATTGGAGATCATTGGATCCACATGGGAACACACAGCCAGCTGCAACTGAGCCATTCGGCATTTATAGCAAATCCTGGGGAAATACCACAAGCTAAGTATGCTGTGATTAGGGCTCTCATTCTAACATCTTGTTTCCCCCACTATATTAGGAAAATGAGATACAAAGATTCACCAGTCCTAGGGGGAATTTATAAAGGTGTAGAGAGGTTGCCCAGGACCTCCAAGAGTGATTCACAAAACACATCACTGGCATATTGGAAAGATATTGCACCAGTACAATAACCAGGATCCCAAGGTTTGCCCAAATGTTGCATAAGCACTCCCAGGCAAACTGGGAGTCTTTGTAAATCTGTCAACACTAAGAACTGAGGGAAGGTATAAGAAATGGGCTGGGAGTGAGATTTAGCACTGAATCAAAATTTATTAAAATATTTATATACTAATTTTCCCACCAAGCATAGTTGCTTGAGGCAACTTATACAAAACCAGTAGTTTCCCTTTTCTGCTACTTGACCTACAGGAGACAGGGATATACAAGTCCTTGTTGCCTCCTTTGATGGGCCTTCTTAGCTACTGTTTCAGAAGGTTCTTCCTGTTGGCTTCCCTGCCTCTGTTCAAGGGCCCAGAGGGCTGTCTTCCCTGGATTTCTCCCTAACTCTCTATGGCTGAGGATGACAGTCTGATCTCTAGCTCTGTAGTGCTTTGTTTACTCTATCCATATCCACTCATGTTATGACCCCAGGTAGGATCTCTATCCAGCTGGCTGCCCCTCCCTTCATGCACTCAAAATAACAGAAGTAGAGCCCTGCTGGATCACACTAGTAGTCCTTCTAGGCCAGCATCTTGGTTTTTTTCAGTGAAACACCAGATGCCCAGAAGAACCACAGCAGGGGCACAGAGGCCAAAGCCTCCATCTGTGCTGCCCAAAACAACAGGCATTCAGATGTATCCTGTCTTCAAGCTTGGAGATCATGTTCAGCCACCATGACGTACAGTCCTTGCATTTCTCTAATCCTCTTCTATGCTAGCAACCATAAACCCATCCTGCAGAAGCAAGTTCCATGAGCTAGTTCCTCCTTTCAAGACTTTTGCTACACCCCATGAATCCTTAAGCTGCCTTAAAATCTATACACACCAAGTAGAAAGTATCCTATTAGCTGTAAAAGCATTGTTACAATCATATGAAATAGGTCAGGTGCTGAACTTAATCTTTGGTACAGGCAGATGTATGGTGATCTTGTAAGAGGTTTAGTTATTGAACCTGTGCTATGGCCTGATTGTTATCTGTTGAAGGCACAGTTCGTGCAACTTCCCCCACTCTGGAAGGGCGGCAGTCCAATTAGAGTGGATGGCTCTGAGAGGCTGATGGATCCAGTTGGATTCCAAGATGCCTTGAAAAATTTGAGACCCAACAGCAGTTGCATAAATACCCTTATGACAAGCCTGGAATACTGGGTCGGATGAGGCAATCAACAGGATTGTTCTTCAATGCCCTCTTTTTCTCTCTGGGAGGAACCCAGCCCCCATAATATGCTGTGATGGTGGGTGTCTTAAAGATGGGATCATGGCTACACTGTTATTGGCAGAAGACATGCCAGATCTCACAGAGCTGATATGAAAGATTATGAGGTGGCCATGTGAGTGGTATTACTGCTGTCACTGCTCTGGCAGAATTGTGGCTAGCTCAGTTATTTAAGATGATTTTGCTGTTGATGACCCCTAGACTGGAGACCCAAAATAAGAGGGAGCTAGCAATTAGCTGTTATACTTTACATGATGTTTTTGCTGATGTCAGATACATCATCAGATACAATCCAACTTGGATAATAGTTTGGAACTATATAGGTAGTAGAGGTGTCCGGAGTCCCACTCCCATATGGCCCATTTTTGGAAGCTTTCTATTTGCTCTTTTTGATGGATGTTAACAGAGCCTTGTGGGTTATGAAGGTAACCACTAGCAGCCTCTATCCTTGTCCCTCCTGGTTAGTAAAAGTTTGCCAGGCTATACTGACTAGATGAAGGAGACTGCAATGAAAATCATTAACATCTCATTATCTAAGGGTGTTTCCTCAAGGGTGTTAAAGGAAGCAGTAATATATCTTCTGTTAAAGAATCATTTGATCAGAAAATTCAGCCTGATAATAGGCTAGTTTTGAACTTGCCTTTTTGGGGTAGGTTTATAGAGACTGGTAGTGGAGCAACTCCAGGATTCCGGTCTTTCTTCAGGAGTAATTAGGGAATGGAGACTGCTTTAGTTACTCCGGTGGGTGATCTCTGTTTACAAGATGAGGAAAATATATTAGTGGAATAGAGCTGCAGTCGTTTAATTCTATCTGGCCATAATCTAAATGTTGTAGTAAAAGATTTCAAATCAGCATTCTGGGAGTTATCCTGCAGAATGCTACAGGGCTCTGTGCTATCTCCATATTGTTTAATATGTGTATGAGATCATCCCTGTTTTTATAGCTGGGCATCATCGGTGACCACCTCACAACTAGCTGTACATACCTAAGTCTCTGGGACACTGCCTGTCTGCTGTGGTCAAGTAGCTACCTGGGGACAGGCTGAAGTTTAATTTAGACAAGAGAATGGTAATTCTGGTTGGCTAAACTGAAGCTTTGGAGAGGTTGTGCTGCCTGCCCTTGACAGGGTATGTTTGTTACTGTCAGACTCAGCTGAAAGCTTGGCAGTGACTTTAGACACAGTTGTGGTATAAGCACTTATTGCTAACCTCTCTACCAGTTAAATGTAATACTCACCTTGTCCATTCTCATATCACAAAACTGTAAAATATACAGTACCTATACATAATTTTGTTTTGAAAACTACTGATCCCAAATGAAGTTTAAAAAATGGCATAAAGCTGATACTTTTTTTTTTTAATGCAGCATCTTGAAGACAATTGCAGCAGATGTTTAGGCTACAGAAGAAGGCACACTACATTTTATTTTCAAGAGTAACATTTGAATTAATGTCTCTAAGACTCCTAACTCTCTGTGAATTCTGTTGCTAATAAATTTGCTTCATTTATAACCTGCCTTTCTCCCAAGTGGGAATCTCCCCTATTTTATCCATACAATAACCTTGTGAAGTAGTGGGTGACTGGTCCAAGGTCACCCAGCAAGCTTCCATGGCAGCGTGGAAATTTTAACATGGGCCTCTAACCACAGCCCCCCAAACTGGCAGGGAAGGCCAGGGCTTTATTAGATATAAAATCAAAATATTTCACAAAATAATGCTCACCGCAGGTACTTGCCCGTTCAATTCTATACAGTGACCTTCCGCCCAGAAACTGAATGATGTGATGGAGGCTCGGTGGCTATAACAACTTGTTTCGCCACGCTGCTCCAAACATGCCTTCCGACCCGCACGCGCTGCCCCCGCTCCGCCCGCCTATTCTTATCCGAGTCTCGAGCCCGAGGGGTGACTGTTTACTACAGTTGCCTAGCAACAAGCATGCGGGCACGGCTTCCGGTTCCGCGACACTATTTCCCCGGCTTTCGCTTTTTCCTGAATGTTATTATTCAGTCTCCATGACACGGAATAATTCGCCGTTCTCGCCCGCGTTTTACCCAAGAAAAGGGCCCCCAAATTCCTTAACTCTATTATCACCAGAGACGCTGGGGCCTCTCTAGCCTCTGGAGAAGAGCGCAGCTCTATGATGATGGGAGCTAAATGCTGAGCCGTTAGCGGCGGTTGGGCTCGTTCCGCACACTGGCCCCTGGCTGGCTGGGGAAAGAATCGCGGCTTTCTGCTGTTGGATAAAACCTGGAGCAGCCACTCAATAGGCACGTCTCAGGGCTCTCGCCCTTTATTCTGTCCACGGGGCTGCAACTATGGGCGGGGTCTAAAGGACTGTCCCATCTACACTCACCCCACCCCACCCCGAACCTTTGCCCTTCGACCTTTCCCACCTTCTCCATGCCTGGCCTTGTAGGGGGCGGCAGTCCAGAGCCTCATGAAGCCCAGGGGCTACTCAGCCTGCGTCCTTACGCCGCAATCGGTGGAGGGTGGTGGTCGCAGGGACTTCATGTTCCTGCATTGGAAAGGGTGGAAATGGAGTTGGTCTCTGCATGCCTTCGTCTGTCTAGCGGTGTTTCTGCTCTTGATCCAGGTGGTACCTGCTATGGCTGAGGGAGACGGTCTCGTTTCAGTGGATTATGAAGTGTTTGGGAAAGTCCAAAACGTGTTTTTCCGCAAATACACACAGGTATGTGTGGTGTGTGCTCTGCCCTTAGTGTCTCCCCGGCAGCCTTTCTCGCTTGGCATCAATGCTGCTCAGTAGTGAGAATCTAACCTTCAGAGCTCTGGAGGCTTTGTATTATATATTTATTTAAAATATTTGTAGATTATCTTCCCACAAATAGCATTTGAGATGGTGCACAGTTACTACAAACATAAAATACAACATAAATTTTTAAAGCACCAGTAAAAACAAAATGGTAGGTACAGCTTATTCATCTTGTGTGTTGGTTGCTGTCAAACAGAACTTGTAGGATCCTGCCAGTTCTGACTAAACTGACTATTCTACCAGTTTTGACTATTGTGTGTTGTATGCACCTTGTTTTTCTTTTGTTCAGGCTCAAGGAAAAAAGTTAGGTGTGGTTGGCTGGGTCCAGAATACAGACTATGGCACTGTGCAAGGACAGATCCAAGGCCCTGCTCTCAAAGTGCGGCAGCTTCAAGAATGGCTTCGGAAGACAGGAAGTCCCAAGTCCTGCATTGAAAAAGCAGATTTCCGCAATGAAAAGAAAATAACCCACTTAGAACATAGTGACTTTTGCATTGTGAAATAATAAGAGAAGAATATTAAGTATAGGAGAAAAGATGGAACCCCATTCTACAAAAAACCCCGTGTCCTTTCATTTTCTCTTGCTATTAACTGTCACATTCAGAGATTCCTTTAGTTTAGGTGCTATATATTTTCATTACATTGTTATTGACTGTGCTGATATAAAGGCAAATCTGCTGACCTAATGATGTAATATGTATATTAGTTATTAATAAATACATTGCTTAAATATACATGGCCCCAACATATGTTCAAAAATGAATTTGAGACACTGGGAGTGAGTCACCTGGGAGGGCATAAAAGGATTGGGATTTGTTCCCAAGCCATCTACATTATGGTGTTTTTGTTGCATACTATTGTTTGTGTATCCATGTTTATATATTATTTTGTTTTTAGTTTTGTTAGCTGCTTCAGGTTCTATGTGAGTGAATAGTATGACATATAAATAAATGGAGGAAAAAAGAAAAATGGCCTATTCTTTACAATGAATTCTTTCTCTGATCTGTTTATAAAAACCAATCCTCAACATTTTGTCATGCTCATAATGATCAAGAAACATAATAATAGTTTATGCAGGTAAAGGGATAATGCTATGAAAGGGATGGGCTTAATTGCGGGTTCATGGGACAGATGGTAGGTTTAATCCTCATTGCAGTAGTGTCCCTGAATGCACACTTTTACGTTCTCTTGTATGAATATTTAACATTCACTTCTAGGGTGAAAATAAAGCTCTACACATGAGAATATCCTACTGCTTTTGGACACTGCATGCTGCTGTGCCTATGTAATATATACATATATGAAAGAACATAAGAGAAGCCATGTTGGGTCTCACCAATGGCCCATCCAGTCCAACACTCTGGCACACAGTGGCAAACCCCCCCCCCCGCACCAGGTGCCATCAGAAGGTCCAACAGATGGGCCAGAACTCCAGAAGCCCTCCCACTGTTGCTTCCCAAGCACCAAGAATACAGAGCATCATTGCCCCAGGCATAGTGTTCCATCTGTACCTTGTGGCTAATAGCCATTGATGGACCTCTGCTCCATATGTTTATCTTGAAGCTGTTTATGCTTGTAGCTGCCACCAGTTCCAATGCTATAATGTTTTTTTTGTTGTGTGGTGACCAGAACTGTACACAGTATTCCAAATGAAGCTGCACCACTGATTTATACAGGGGCATTATGATACTGGCTGATTTGTTTTCAGTTCCGTTCCTAATAATCCCCAAAAAGCAGTTGCCTTTTTTTTAATTGCTGTCACACAGAGGGCTTTCTGCCGGCATAAACTGAACCGGTTGGACTTACCTTTAAAGTTTAAAGCCCAAACTGGCCTCCCTTAAGTCCCGGACTCCTCCGGGTAGGTAAAGTAGGACTTCTTTTTTCTTTTTTTTTAAACAAACGCTCAGGGCGAAGCTTTGCCTGAGCGCATATCGCTTAGAGTTTTAAAAAATGGTGGGGGGAAAACAGAAGCCTCAGGCTTCCGACGGAAATGGCTAGGCACCGGTGGAGAGCGATCAGACGCCGGTGTACATCGGAAGCCACCGTTGCACTCAGGATACCACCACTTGGGACCTAGTGGCAGAGTGCAAAGTGTAAAGGGCTTTACACCGGTTAGGGACAGGAGGCAGATGTGCCCCGTCTGAACGCCGGTGAGTACAACGGTTGGAACCGGCACCCTAACCGGTGTAAAGCCCCTGTCTGAACGCACCCACTGAGTCAAGATTTTCAGTGAGTTATCTGCCATGACTCCAAGATCTCCCTCCTGGTCAGTCTTTACCAGTTTGGACCCTATCAGCATGTATCTAAAGTTAGGATTTTTGGCTCCAATGTGCATTACTTTGCATTTGCCCATGTTGAACTTCATTTACCACATTGACACCCACTTGCACAGCCTCAACAGATCCCTCTAGAGCACCTCACAATCCTCCCTTGGTTCTCACCACCCTGAGCAGCTTAAGTGTCATCCACAAACTTAGTCTCTTCACCACTTCCTCCAAATAATTAATGAACAAGTTAAAAAGCACTGGACCCAGTACCACCCACTGCTTACCACCCTTCACTGTGAAAACTGCCCATTTAGACTCACTGTTTCCTGTTCATTAACCAGTTTTTAATCTACAAGAGGACTTGTTTTCTTATCTCATTATTACTGAGTTTACTTACAAGCCTTTGATGAGGAACTTTATCAAAAGCTTTCTGGAAGTCTAGGTATCTATTGGGTCACCCTTGTCCACATGTTTCTACACCCCCTCAAAGAACTCTTAACAGGTTAGAGAGACAAGATCTTCCTTTACAGAATCCATGCTGATTCTTCCTCAATGGCTTTTGTTCATCAAAGTACCTACTAATTCTGTCTTTAATAACAGATTCCACCACCTTACCCAGTATCGATGTTAGTCTGACCAGCCTGTAATTTCCTGGATCTTCTCTGGAACCTTTTTTAAAGATGTGGGTTACATTAGCTACCTTCCAGTTCTCAGAAATGGGAGGCAGATTTTAATAACTGCATATTTTTGTCAGGAGATCCACAAGTTCACACTTGAGTTCTTTCAGAACTCTTGGATGTGTGCCATCTGGGCCTGGTGATTTGTCGTCTTTAATTTGTCCATCAGTCATAGGACCTCCTCTCTCGTCACCTCAATCTGACAGGTCTTTAAACACCCTTCCCGGAATCAGCGGTTCTGGAGTGGGGAGGCACCTCCCATCTTTGAGAGTGAAGACAGGCAAAAAATGCATTCAGCTTCTCAGCCATTTCACTATCATCCTTTTATAATCCTATCCCCCCTGGTCATCCAAGGATCCCACTGTCTCCCTGGCTGGTCCTCCCTACACCATTGTCTAAACTATGCATTGAGGCTCCTAATTTGTGCCTATCTAGCTGCCCCAGCATGTGGAACATGCAGCCCTTCTGAGAAGGCTGCCTTGGAGGTCCTGGCCTTGAGTCTCCTGCCTAGAAGCCTATATTTTCTTCCAGGACCACACAACTACATTTCCCCATATCATTGGTGCCAACATTTACCATGACCCCTGGCTCCTCCCCAGCACTGTCTACCAGCCTATCTAGACCACACGTAATGTCCACTACCTTCACACCAGGCAAGCAAGTCACCATGCGATCAGTATGTGAGTTCGCCACCCATCTATTTACATGCCTAAGGATTGAATCACCATCTGCTAAGAGCCTCTCTCCTTCCCTGCCCAGGGATGGTTCCTTGGTGTGAAAGGATACCTGTTCACCAACTGTAGAAAGGGTCTCTTCTAAGGGAATATTCCCCCTTTCATCAGCACACTGCCGTTTCCCTTTGACCCTCATGTTTCCCAACAGCAGCGGAGCTGCCATTCTCAGAGTAGAACACATCTAACAAGACCCTGAGAGTCTTATCCATGTGCCTGATTATTTTTGCTTCTCCAGTTCAGCCACCTTGGCCTGGAGGGTGCGAACTCATTCCCTGAGAACCAGGAGCTCCCTGCACTGAGCACATACCCATGACTTCCATCCAGTTGGCAGATGGTCAAAGATGTTACACTCAGTGTAATACACTGGATAGCCCCCAACCTCCTGCTGGCATTCTACTGCTGTGATTAGGTTTTTTTTAAATCCTTTTTATAAATTCCCTATTTATATGGATTTGTTTGTGGAAAGTCTGCTTACCCTATTATTAGGGACATGGAGAGATTAGTGCCCTGCCTTCCTCACCTTGCTGCTGAGCTCACACATCTGCTTAACTTGCCTGTTTATTCCCTCATTCTGGACACTTTGTCACTGGATCTGAGAGATATGCTGTCTTAGATAGGTTATTATGTTTGCCACAAGGGGTAAGTGAGATCTTTTCACAATTTTAACAATTATAAATAAGGTGGAATGAAATTATACTGATGTATTAATATTTTTATTTATTTCAGTTCTGATGGGACCCTAGACAATCCTGCTATCTTAAGAGCTTTTGTGCTCACAAAGAAAAATTATTGCACCTTATGTCCTTTATATATACATCACGGTCCTTGAAAAAGATTCATTTGAAACGGGTAAATTACTAGTTTGGTGGGACTAGTGATAGTGATACTGACAAGGTGCTGTCTGAATGTAAACCTTGCACTCGATGTATTGTTTGGTGAAACATATTTTTCTCTATGTATTGTTTGGGTGAAATATATTTTTGATAATATTTGATACCAATATTTAGACAACAGTATTGAAAAATATAAAAAGAAAAAGAATAAAGCATAAAATTGTTCTACCATAGACATATATTTATTGTACACAGTGATACATATTTTTGTATGTCTTCCTAACACTGTGACCCTCAGTTTTTGTATTAACCTCCAGGTAGTGGCTGGAGATCTTCCGCTATTACAACTGATCTCCAGGTGACAGAGATCAATTTACCTGGAGAAAATGGCTGCTCTGGAAGTTGGAGTCTATGGCATTATGCCCCCAACCCTGCCCTCCTGAGGCTGCAAACTGGAGTAACCAGTGCAATTCTGCTAACTGCTTTCCCTTATGTTCTATCTTTAGAAGACTTGAACTCATTATGAATTATGCTCAGCTGAAACACACAAGGACACCATCGAATGTCCACTTTATCCTCTACTTAATGATTTGTAAATACATTGGGCGCATGACGTTCATCAGCAAGGCCACATTACATGGTTAGGGCTCACTGACTGAACTGAGTATAAAAAGGCCCATGCCGCAGATTAAAAAAAAATATTACAACTCACAAATAATAAACTTCAATGGAAAAGATTCCGCAACTTCCGTAAACAACATATTTCATTGCTTAAAGTTAAAGGAACCCTGCTGTTCTACCCCAATTTGCGCATTCCACTTAAGAGCAGCTAATAGAGTTGCCAGGTCTGGGTTGGGAAATACCTGGAGACTTTGGGGGTGGATCCGGGAGAGGGCGGGGTTTGGGAAGGGGAGGGGCTTCAGCATGGTACAGTGCCATAGAGTCCACCCTTCAAAGCAGCCCTTTTCTCCAGGGGAGCTGATCTCTGTCAGCTGGAGATCAGTTGTAAAAGCAGGAGATCCCCAGGCCCACCTGGAGGCTGGCAACCCTAGCAGCTGAGTATCAGTCTCTTATCCTTGACTGGCAACACACCACCGTCGTGTCGTTGCTTGCAGCAGCATACCGACATCATGTAAAATCCCTCAGAAGGTACAACGAGGACTTCGAAATTAGACAGTTCCCATAGTGCATTGCAAGTACATCTAAGCGCAGGCTGGGAATTGAAGTCCATAGTTGCATCTACGCTCATTGCGCAGGCCTTCGTTCCCTTCACTACAGTCCGGTGATTTACACCGTTAATAGCGGCAAGCGCGTGCGTGCCTGTAGGAAAGAGCGGTCGGGTTTGTTACGGTTGGTGGGACAAGGGACCCTTTTTTGCTTGAGGAAAGCGGAGCGCAAAAGGGAAACGAGAGTTGCTGTGACTGCGCCTGGGATGAAAGGAAGGAGGAGACAGAGACCGTAACTGCTTCCGCTGTGGCAGTGGCACGGGGTGAGCGGCTGATGGTTAACTTCGTAGCCGGGGCAAGGTGAACGTCAGTTGCTACTTCGAAGCCAAACAGACTTCCCCGGGACCGAGCTGTGGCACCAACGGATGAGCACTGCCCATTTTTTCCTTTAGAATGGCTCCCCATCCTAACAAAGAGAAGATGCTAATTATACATTTTTTTGGAACCAGTCTAAATACTTGGAGGTACTAAATAGTTCCTTTCTTCATTTATGTACTGTCCTCCCTCAAAGGAGCCCGGGGCCATAAGGGAACTCAAGTGGGGGACAAATTGTTTACCCCATTCTCACACCAACCTCTGAGGTCATTTGCCTGAGAGACACTGGCCAAGGATCACCTAGTAAGTTTTAGAGTTGAACGGGGATTTGAGCCTGTAGCTGTACCCCATTCCACACTGGCATATCTCCTGCTCTTCCTATTTTCTGGTCCCTGACCCAGTCACTTGTGCCTTGTTATTTATTTGTTTATTTATGGGTATTGAGAGTTGTCAATGTGATGGTTCTTCAGGGTTTCAAGTGGGGAATGGATGCATCTTATCTCTAGTGTTCCTGTGCATAAATATGTGCACACGTACATGAATATAAGGAGCTGCGGTGGCTCAGGGGGTTAAGACGCTGAACTGCAGGCTGTGAAAGGTCAGTAGTTCAGCAGTTCGAGACCTGGGTGCCGCATGACAGAGTGAGCTCCCATCTCTAGTTCCAGCTCCTGCCAACCTAGCAGTTTGAAAGCAAGAAATTGCAAGTAGATAAATAGGTACCACTTCGGTGGGAAGGCAACAGCGTTCCGTGCGCCTTGGTGTTTAGTCATGCCGGCCACATGACCACGGAAATGTCTTGGGACAGCGCTGGCTCTTCGGCTTTGAAACGGAGATGAGCACCGCAACCCTAGAGTCAGATTCGACTGGCTTTCGAGCAAGGGAGCCTTTACCTTTTTACATGAATATATGCAACATATAGCCTGCCACTTCACACACTGCAACTAATGAGGTATATTTTAAATGGTTAATAACATATGGTAAGACAGTTTGCAAGACCTGAGCAAGGCTGTTTTGGAGGTCATTAATTTATAGTGTTGACATACATAGGAAGCGACTTGAAGGCACTTAACATATATACACACAAGACAGTTACTTTTTCAAAGATAACTTTAACCAAAGGAACTACCGACCTCCTTAATTAAATCAATGGATGATATGCTGTGGCAAAGTGAAGGAATACAGCAGACAGGATGTGAAGTAGAGCGTTCAGCTATATGTGGGCCCCAGTCACACGGCAAAGTTGCCGCGGGAGAGGCACGGATGGTGGGCGGATTATCCAGGCGCAATCACACCCCAACATCTGGGAAGTAGAGCGCACCTGTGGCTTACCGCCGACAATGTGAGTTAAAAAACTAGTACCTCCAGGGTACTAGTAAACGTTTGCCACGGGCTGCCTCCAGACGCCCGTGGTGTGATTGCAACGGCGCGTGGCATTCCCCTCCGGTTCCTCGTTTACCCGCCGGCGCATCTGATCGTGTAATCACGGATCAAACTGCGCCGGGGCCATTAGCCACGCCTCCCCCCCCCCATGATATCTGGCCCGTGTGACCGGGGCCGTGATTGTGGTAAATGTGGATGGCTCAGGCAGAGATCCTTGATATGAGAATGTTGCAAGTAAATCCTTGTTTTCGTCTGTGAAATGTGGGGAGGCAGGCCCTGGCCGTATAGGCAGGCTGTGGTTGAAATATGTTAAGATCACAATGAGGTTTGCAGTGTGCTAGTCAGAGGACAAAAGGTGGCAGTTTTAGCTTTAACACATACTGTAGAAACTCTAGACAGCAATGATGAATGGATCTGAGGAGCATAAGGCAGAATGAATACAGTGAAATAATGCCACGTGTTTCCCAATACCATCCAGGTACCAGCTCACTTCTTGTGGCATTCTACATATTGCAATTATGTGCACCAATGCTGGGTAGAAAAGGTCAAGGAGAGCATCCTCCTGAATATATCTGGGCAAAAATAAAGATTGTTGTAAATAGTAGTGAGATGCATGAACTTGGGGGGGAGGTAGCTCATAAGTGTTATAATCTACAAATATCACTGTCTATCACAGTTTACTTCAGATACTTGTCATTGGGGGTTTATTCATTTAGTGTAGATGTTCAAATTAGATAGAACATATAGCAATGATAGTCATCTTAGAAATGAAAAGTATTATTCTGCAGCTGTTTAACTTTTTACAAAAATGCTCACTAAAGGTCTGTAGGGTTAATGTTGAAGGGTTTATGAGGACTCTGGTTAAAAATAATATACGTTTTTTTCTTTTCTTTTTTTAAACAGGGGATTCATAGAATGAGAAAGCACAATGCATATCCAGTCTCCTGAGATGTTCACCCCTCTGTTTTTGTCATGATCAAACGCTTGACTGAAGAAGTACAAACCAGTTTGCGTTCTGGAGTGGCCATCACTTCTCTGGGGCAGTGTGTTGAAGAGCTTGTCTTCAACAGCATAGATGCCAAAGCAACATGTGTGGCCATTAGACTGGATCTGGAAACCTTTAAAATCCAGGTTGTAGATAATGGCTCTGGAATGGGAAGAGAAGACCTCAGCAAAGCAGGGAACAGATACTTTACAAGTAAATGCTACTCTGTGGAAAACCTAGAAAATTTAACATGTTATGGCTTCCGTGGAGAGGCTTTGGCAAGCATTGCAAACATGGCCAGCATAGTAGAAATATCATCCAAGACAAATAAGATTGCAAAAACATTTTTGAAATTATTTCACAATGGGAAAGGGCTGGAAGTTTCTGAAGCAGAATTGAATAGACCAAGTGCTGGAACAACAGTGACCGTGTACAACTTATTCTACCAGTTACCCGTGCGAAGAAAATGCATGGATTCCTTACTAGAATTTGAGAGAGTAAGGCATAAGGTTGAGGCTCTTTCACTTATGCATCCCTCTGTCTCTTTTTCATTAAGAAATTATGCTTCCTGTTCTATGGCACTTCAGCTGCCCAAGACAAAAGATGTGTGCTCTCGGTTTTCTCAAATTTATGGTCTAGGTAAATCACAGAAATTGCGAGGAATATATCATAAGTCTGGAAGATTTGAGATAAGTGGCTATATCAGTTCTGAAGGGCATTACAATAAAAATATTCAGTTTTTGTATGTGAATGATAGACTGGTATTAAAAACAAGACTGCATAAGCTAATTGATTTTTTATTAAGAAAACAAAGTGTTACATGTAAAACCAAAGGTGGACCTGTGACCTCAAGTCCTGCTCGCCATCGTTCTGGTCCAGAGCTCTATGGAGTCTTTGTTATGAATATCAAGTGCCCACATGATGAATACGATGTGTGTTTAGAACCTGCAAAAACTCTAATAGAGTTTCGCAGTTGGGATGCTCTCCTGCTTTGCATTGAAGAAGGAGTTAAAGCCTTCTTAAAGCGAGAACATCTGTTTATTGAGCTGTGTGGTGAAGACATTAAAGAATTTAATGAAAATAATGGCTTTTGTTTGGGTTCTGCTATGGCTTTACATCCTTCTTTTCCTGAGGAGAAACACACAGAGGAGAATTTCAAGAGAGCTTGTGATAATATTGTGGATTCTTATGAAATGTGTAATCTCCAATCAAAGTCTGTCCAAAGAAAAATAACTCTTGAAAAGGAGACATCAGATCACTCAGGACCCACTAACAATGTGAAGGAAATATTTGCTTTCCCAGATTTGGCCATCAGTGAGACAATTCATGAAAGTAGCAATAAAGTGGGAAATCCTCTGCCCGACAAAAATGGCACCACTCTTGATCTTCTAGAACTGAGTAACCTGCACAAAGAGCCAAATGTATGCAATGATCCACAGACTGAGGTCATAAATTCCAAGAATCCACAAGAAGGCTGTGGACAGGATGTTTTGGATGCTGTAGAAATAGACAGTGATAGTGGGATGTCGCTTTGTTCTGAGACGTCTGGCAAAGACACAAACAGCCTGCATGATCCAGCATTTCAGGAAAGTAGCCCCAGCTCTGCAGCTCTTGGACACTTTGTAAATGTGAGAGATATTAATGTACAGAAACATCAGTTTCTCTTAAAAAGTGCTTTGGTGGGGAGATACAGGATGGCAGAAGAGAGCAGAGGTCCTCCTGTGGAGTTGAATCCTCATGGGTTAAATTCCTGTGGAGAAGCAGCAATAGAACAAGAATCTTTAAAGTTATGTTCTACAGGCCTTATAGTGCACCTGATGCAAAGTCAGCCACCAGATAAAACAGCAGACATTAACCATTCATCTAACATACCGCCTGTACTAGGTCCAGTAAGTGCCAGGGATGTATTTGACAAAAAGCTCAAGTTTTCAAATACTCAGGAATGTTCGAGGATAACTAAAGGAGGTATGTATCCAGGAAATGGCTATAAAAGCATGGAAATTGGGCATGCATCGGGCCAAAAGAATGAGATGGATTCACTTCCTGCAGTTGGCAGTGGTGACTTTGTGACACAATGTGTCAATGAACTGATTTCTATTGCTCCATCTGATTTTGTTCACAGTGTGGATAGTGCAACCTCAAGAAAGCAAATGCCTGAGAAGTTAACTAGATTTGAGCACTATACAAAACTAAGCTTGCATCCAAAACTAGGGTCATTAGATAGATTCAGGCGACGTTATGGGACCATAAAGAATACACAATCAGTGTCTGCGAAAAAGGGGGATGAGTTTGCAGTCCCAGCCTGTGTTGGTTCTCTCACGGATAAGAATAAAAATCTTGAACACTCAGGTATTTGTGACCTCCCAGCTAAAGAACATGTTGGATGTAATAATAATGGCCATGAGTGCCTTCTTCCTTTGGAAAAGTCTCAATTCTGCTCTGAAGAAAGCAGGAAAACACATATAAGAGAGAGCCCTCTGACCCTGACAGATTACTCTCAAAGCAGAACAAAAGCTCCAAGAAGCTCTGGATTCACAGGAACACTTGCCTCTAAAGTGTCTAGAATGAAGGGAAGCCTTAAAGAAACTATACATTTAGAACCCAGAGGGCAACCTTTTGAACAGTCTCAATTGTATTCAAGCCCCCCAAATGAAGGCAGATGTGGTCCCTCATCTCAAAATAATCTTTTGCAAAGTAACTATTCTATATCTCAATTGTCCACAAGAGAAGTAGGGACAAAGAGCCACAGTTTTGCTCCATGCTTTCCTGAGCAAAGTAATCCTGTGGAAATCTTTAGCACAGGAGCAGTGGATATGGAAGATACTGTCAGCCTTTGTTTCATTGACACTGATGGAGACTATGTAGTTTCCCAAAAGAGAAAATTGGCATTGCCTGATAATTTATGTCCTGAAGACACCTGTGAAGATACGAGTGCTATGGATGAATCTTCAAAGCAAAATGCTAACACCTGTGATCCTATAGTGGTTCTCTCAAGTAGCAGTGAAGGTGCTACAGATAATGCAAATCCAGAGGAGAATGAGGAGGCACAGAGTCATCCTTCTGAGTGGTTTGATCAGTTTGATGCATCCTTGGGTAGGACAGTATACATCAATAGAATGACTGGACTGAGCACCTACACTGCTCCTCCTGGTGAGGAACCTAAAGCTGTATGTACTAAAGATATCAGTACAATGGCTGTAAATGTTGTCATGGAGAATGGTAAGTTCACAATGTATAACTGGAAGCAATTCTAAGCAGACCTCCTCAGAGCAAAGTTTCATCTTATTCAGTGGGGCTTACTCTCAGGAAAAAGGCTTTAGAATTGCAGTCTTTGTGCTTCATCTACCACATACAGAATGTTCTTGCAGAGTTCAAATGGTCAAGAGCAGTAGCATAATCTGGGTTTCCTATAGGCTTGTTTAGTACACTTTTATCCTACCCTTTATCCAAGGAGCTGAGGGCAGTGTACATAATTTCCCCCCTCCTCCATGTTACCTTCCCAGGACACTATGATGTACATAAGGCTGAAAGAGAGAGTAACTGGCACAAGGTCACCCAGTGGGCTTCCGTAGCAGAGGCAATTCAAACATGGGTCTCCCAGGTCCTAGTCCAACACCCTGGCCCCTACACCACACTGGCTCTGAATCCTGTAGGCTTCATGCTCAGTTTCTACTAGTATAAGTGTGGTTCTGGTTTCATTCTGTATGCTTGTTTCAAGAACTCTTTAGGCCACATGGGAGATTACAAAGTCAATTCAATATACAGGAATTTTGGGCACTGGGGGATGCTATTGTAGTGTTTCTCAAACTTCCACAAGCTTGCTTCTAAAGTTGCTCTACATTTTGCCCCCCATCTTTTTAGTAAGTAAGCATGCATACTCTTAGATTTGGAACACTAATCCAACATTGGCATTAGTCAGGATTGCCAACCTCCAGTTTGGGCCTGGAGTCCTCCTAGCATTACAACTAATCTCCAGGCTACAGAGATCAGTTCTGGAGTAAACAGCAGCTTTAGATGGTGGAATCTACAGTGTTATACCCCACTGAAGTCCCTCCTCGTCCCAAATCCCCCCCCCTCCACAGCACTGCCCCCAAATCTTCAGGAATTTCCCAGGCCAGAGCTGGCAACTCTAGTATTAGTAGAGGCCATAGTATCTCTGTCCACTGAAAGTGGAGGAGGTGGAAACTGCCATCAAGTCACGATTAACATAGGTTTGATCACTGCATTGCTAAACCTCTGCTGCTAGAAGGAAAGTAACTCTGTGTCTGCCAGATTCAGACCACAGAAACTACTGTCCTCTTCCACCTGAACATTTAATGTGCACTTTTTCTTGGTAACTTCTCTTTATTAGTAATATATAACACATTGCCTGTAACTTTATTTCTTCATTATAAGGCATTGAAAAAGGTGTAATTCTGTTCTAGGTTTTTTAAGGGTCTTTTTGGGGCAGAGCTAACCACAGTTTGATCTTTTAATAGTAAAAATAACAGGATGAATTTGCAGACTTGTGTCTGTAAGAGCATATACAGAAGTAATTCTTTCATTGGCTGTTTAGGGTTCCAGTACACATGTCATCCTTTTAGAAGTGAGTTTATTGTTCCCTTCCTTCCAAGACCTCAGAAAGAGAGGCATTTGCAGAGCCAAGACTTCAGAGGTAGGCCCAGTTTGCCAGGACATAGAGTACTATGTTAAATAAAAACAAATCAAAGAAGGCTACCAGCTGTCCCAACAGGAACTTGGAATTACTCAAGGTCTGTTAACAATGGGACTTGTATGACTCACTTAATGTGTGAAATTGGAAATAACTCTCTTAGGTCAAAGTCAATTATTGAGTGAGCGTGGATAGTATGAGATGTCCAGTTCCATGCAAAACTCTATCTCTAGTTTGAGGAGAAATTACTTAATCTCCTCTTCTGATTGTGCTTTCATTCTAGGCTGAAAATGGCATCAGATGTAATTTTTAAGATCCAAGCAAAGTTGAATCATTGTTCTGGTATGCATCTTTTTCAAGTGGGAACAAAATGGGCAACTGACTTTGTGTCCTGTTAGGGCATGGTGGGTTGTACTAAAATGCAGGATGGACAAAGAACCAGATGCCATTTTAACAATCCTTTCCAAACCTTACCAATTCCATGGCTGGGAGGGCAGGGTATAAATATAATAAATAAAGAAATATTAGCCTGCTTTAGGTATAATAACAGAGACTCATTAGATTATAGAATCACAAAGTTGGAAGGGCCCATACAGGCACGGTCCATAGTGGGCATGGTCCTCTCTTACCTGGATGAATTGGATATAAGTAGGATAATTCTGAATAACATATCTGAATAACACACATTAAAACCTGTAAGGAAGAACAACTATTGTTTGTAATGAGCTAACCATCCCACATTGAGCCCAAGTTTGATAGTATCAGATTTGCATTCTGCTGAAAAATTACAACAGTTTTAATCTATTTAATCTATTTTGTTCTATTATTGAGTGTTCAGGGAGACTCAAATGCTCTCCCACTGTTCTTTTTTTGATGTCTGATATGTTCATCTGTTCTCTTGCATAGAGACTGTCCAGTTTGACAATGTAAACGACAGAAAGGCATTACTAACACATGGTAGCAGGTATCACATTATGGAATGTGCTGGTCAATGAGCCCTTGATGGTATAGCTAAAGTTATGGGGGTCATGTTATGTTGTTACTTCAGTGGATATGAAGCTAGAGGTGGCCTTGCACTTTATTGCAGGAGTGGTTGCTTTAGGATGGATGGGGCATAACTTTAAGGAAGGATCAGCAGATCCCTAAGGCCTGTGAAAGGAGCTGTCATCTTCCAGATATAGATCCCATATGATGCACCAGACAAGTTTTGCTTGTTAGCTGTATTACCAGTGACATTCTGAGTTATTAAGATATCCGTTTAGTGAGATGATGGTAAATCTAATTAAACACTTATTTCCCCCCCCCCTCTAAAGTGCAATGTGTGACTAGTCTGTTTGCAATGGGGAAAAAACTTTGTTGATGCATTTCAAATTTGATAGCATATCAAGTTTTCTTTTATGCAAGAGAAACATGTCAGGTGTGAAGCAGTCTTAAAAATTCAAAACTGTATGCATGTTCTGTTCTAGATGCACGAGGAGAATCTCTCCAGTCCATGTTTTCAGAGTGGGACAATCCAGTGTTTGCTCACTGCCCAGAGGTGGGTTGTATTTAGCTAGCCATGATTAGGAGGAATTATTTCATGTTTGTATTATGTTGTGACATTTTGGACAGGGATAGGGAAAATTTGCCATTATTATATAAACATTTATATAAACAGGGATTTTTTTGCTAGTAGTTGTATATGAGCCTTTTTTATGATGATCACTGCACTCTTGAAGTTAGTGTATTTTGCTTAGAGTTTTTTACTGAGAATCCAAAATGCTTGTGTAAGCCCTGCTTACATTGTTGAACCAACAGTCTTAAGCTGAAGAGGAAGCACTGCCCTCTAAAATGCCCCCCCCAAAATCTGGAGATTAAAAAGTTCAGAGTAGTGTGTTGCTGCCTTTTGACATTACATAAAGTAGCAGACAAAACATGGATCCCTAGCATGTAATAGTAGAAAACAGCAGAAAAACGCCAAGGGAATACCATCAAAGATTAAATGCACTTGAAATGTCTGAGTATAGGATATATTAAGTAAGTTTTAAATTGCAAATAAACGTCTATAATGAGTTGGTAGTCCACAACCCAAAACAAACACAAATGCAACGTTCCCAAATGCAATCATATGTGCTCATAGCATATCATTTATCAACATTGGAATACAAATAAACATAACAGTAATTGCACTCACAGGCGCTAATAACTGCCTTTATTTGAATTGCTCATTTTTGTATTATTATTACTTTAAGAATGATACACCTGTAATCCATTAGCTAGTGTACTTTTATGTGGGATGGTGCTGCTACTGTTTATGTGAACCCTGGGATTCAGTATAGTTAAAAGAACTGGTAGTCTATGTAGTTCTCTTTGAAATCGGGATAAATATATATATTGTCATCTGTTCATTTTCTTGAATATTTGAGGTATTGCATAGATTGCATGTTATATTATTACTTACAGTTCCATTATTCAGCTGTTTATCCAGAAGAAGAGAAACAGATCCATATATTTAATAAAGGCGTTGTTCAGCTACAGGAGATTTTTCACTGGTCGTCCTTTGCTTGACTTATGACTGCAGGAGGTCTTTGGACACTTTTATTGCATTTAAGTAAGGAGAATCGACCAGTTGGATTTATGTGCATACCTTGTTATTAGTGCCTGTCAGCGCAATTACTGTTATGTTTATTTGTATTTCATTGTTGATGCATGATATGCCATGAGCCCATCTGATTATATTTGGGAACATTGTATTTGTATTTGTTTTGGGTTATGGACCACCAACTCATTATAGACATTTATTCGTAATGTAAACACTTACTTATCCTGTACTCAGACATTTCAAGTATATTTAATCTTTGATGGTCTTCCCTTGGCATATTTCTGCTGTTTTCTACTTTTGACATTACATAGCAATGTGGTTGCTACTGTAAAGCTAACTGGCCCCTAAGATGAAATAGAGAAAGAATAAATGGATTCTGTCAGTCCATACTGCAGACACTGGTGTGTTCCTCTGGTTTACAGAATATTTCAGGAGAGCTTCTTGCATTGGTGGAAAGTTCCTTGCACTACAGGAACACAGAATTCAGGCACAGCAGAATGAGCTGCAGGATCCAACTAACTCATGACTATATGTACTATAATTTTAAATTATGTTCCTTTTCCTCATGAGAGATACTATTTTTTAATTGTATTTGCAGTGTTTGCAGCTGAATCTAATTGAGGTTAATGGAATCTATTCCCAAACAACTTTAACATAGATGTGTTCGTCAATGTACAAAATTTGTGCTAATGTGCACACACATATTTTTAATTGGCTACATTGACTTTTAAAAAAATGGAAACAAAGTCTCAGTATTCAAGGAACTTGATTCTGAATAGATGAGTTACCTTTAACATGCGTGCCCTCATTAAGTGAGGATGTAGAGTAACAGCTAAGTACAAGACCTTGTAGTGGTGCATGCTCTGGTAACATCTATATTAGACTACTACAGTGTGGTCTGTATGGGGCTACTCTTGAAGAATGTCTCGAAGCTACAATTGATGCAGAATACTGTGGCCAGAATCCTGCTTGTAGGGACCATATAATTCCAGTCTTGTTCCACCTACATTGGCTCTCAATTTGCTTCCGGTCTCAATTCAAGGTTTTGGTACTTACCTTTAAAGCTTGATACCTTACAGACTGCCTACTCCCGTATGGACCTACTCAGCCACTATGATTATCTTTGGAAGACCTGCTTCAGGTACCCCTGCCATTTGAGGCTAGACAGTTGACAACTCAAGACAGGGCCTTCTTTGTTGTGGCACCAAGATTATGGAATTCCCTCCCCAAGGAAATTAGTCCCCTTCTGTCCTGTTCTATCGTGGTCTTCCACCACTGGGTGAAGACTTCACCTTTCCTCCTGTTCATGTGCTTGTGTCTTTTAATTTTTGATTGTTTATACACACACATACTGGTGTGGGTATCCTAAGATGTTATTTGACATTCTTTGTTTTGTAGGTTGCTCTTGATGTGAGCAGTGGACAGGCTGATAACCTTGCTGTGAAAATCCATAATATCCTGTATCCTTACCGGTTCACCAAGGACATGATTGAGTCAATGCAGGTAAGCTTCCTAGCATATGCTTAAATGGCACTACTGCAGCTGTCACTAGACAAAGAACATTGTATTCATTGTTGTTGAGATGCAGATTGGTACAGCCACAGATCTTTTCATTCACTTGCCCATCCTCTATGATAAATGCTATCATGTACCAGCAATTCAGATAATGAGCTACTCATTGCAAAATTCAGGCTTAAACTAAAGAAAGTTGGGAAAACCACTAGGCCATTCCGCTTTGACTTAGATCACATCCCTTATGAATATAGAGTGGAGGTGAATAATAGGTTTAAGGGACTAGATTTGATGGACAGAGTGCCTGAAGAACTATGGATGGAGGTTCATGACATTATACAGGAGGCAGCAATCAGCACCATCCCAAAGAAAAAGAAATGAAAGAAAGCAAAGTGGCTGTCTGATGAGGCTTTACAAAAAGCAGAGGAAAGAAGGAAAGCAAAAGGCAAAGGTGAAAAGAAAAGATTTACCCAACTGAATGCAGATTTCCAGGGAACAGCAAGGAGAGATAAGGAGGCTTTCCTGAATGAACAATGCAAAGTAAAAGAGGAAAACAATAGAATGGGGAGTACTAGAGATCTCTTCAAGAAAACTGGAGAAATCAAGGGAACCTTCCGTGCAAAGCTGGCCATGATAAAGTTCAAAAACAGTAGGGACCTAACAGAAGCAGAAGAAATTAGGAAGATATGGCAAGAATACACAGAAGAACTATACAAGAAGGACCTCAGTGTCCTTGACAACCACGGTGCTGTAATCACTGACCTCGAGCCAGACATCCTGGAGTGTAAAGTCAAATGGGCCTTAGAAAGCATTACCAACAACAAAGCTAGCGGAGGCAATGTATCCCAGCTGAACTATTCAGAGTCTTAAAAGATGATGCTGTTAAAGTGCAGCACTCTATATGCCAGCAAATATGGGAAACACAACAGTGGCCACAGGATTGGAAAAGGTCAATTTACATTCCAATTGCAAAGAAGGGCAATGCCAAGGAATGTTCAGACTATTGCACAATTGCACTCATTTCACACGCTAGCAAGATCCTACAAGCTAGGTTTCAACAGTATGTAGATAGAGAGGGTGAAAGAGGTGAGCGCAAAAGTTGGCTTGAAACTCAGCATCAAAAAAACTAAGATCATGGCATCTGGCCCTATCACTCCTTGGCAAATAGAAGGGGAAGTCATGGAAGCAGTGACAGAATTCACATTCCTGGGATCAAGATCACTGCAGACAGTGACCACAGCCATGAAATTAAAAGACACATGCTTCTTGGGAGGAAAGCTATGGCAAACCTAGACAGAATAATAAAAAGTAGAGACATCACCCTGCCAACAAAAATCCATATGGTCAAAGCGATGGTATTCCCAGTAGTAATGTATGGCTGCAAGAGTTGGACCATAAGGAAGGCAGAGCGCCAAAGAATAGATGCTTTTGAATTATGATGCTGGAGAAGACTCTTGAGAGTCCCTTGGACTGCAAGGAGATCAAATCAGTCAGTCCTAAAAGAAATCAACCCTGACTGTTCCCTGGAAGGCCAGATGCTGAAGTTCAAATACTTTGGCCACCAAATGAGAAGGGAGCACTCACTGGAGAAGACCCTGATGCTGGGAAAGATTGAAGGCCAAAGAAGAAGGTAACGGCAAAGGATGAGATGGTTAGACAGTGTTATTGATGCAATGAACATGAGGTTAAGCAGACTCCAGAGCACGATGGAAGGCAGGAGGGCCTGGCATGATGTGGTCTATGGGGTCGTGAAGAGTTAGAATCAACTATGTGACTGAACAACAACAACAGCAGCAATTCTGCCATTTATACTGACAAAACTGGACTGTCTATGGAAGAAAATAAATGGACACAAATCAGACCTTGCAAAGGGACACACAGAAACGAGTGGATGAACGCTTCAGAGTGCAATCCTAACCAGGGTTAAAGGTAAAGGTTTCCCAGTCAAATCTTACTTTAGGTTTGCGGTGCTCATCTCCATTTCCAAGCCAAAGAGCCAGCGCTGTCCAAATACATTTCCGTGGTCATGTGGCTGGCATGACTAGACGTCAAGGCACACAGGACGCTGTTACCTTCCCGCCGAAGCGGTACCTATTTATCTACTTGCAATTTCTTGCTTTCGAGCTGCTAGGTTGGCAGGAGCTGGAACCAGAGACGGGAGCTCATTCCATCATGCGGCTCTCGGGCCTCGAACAGCTGAACTACTGACCTTCCAGCATGCAGTTCAGCGTCTTAACCACCCTTCTAAATCCATTGAGGGCTTAGAGAGGTATGATTATGGTTGGGGTTGCACTGTCTGTTCTCCTGGATATTCAGTAACAGATTCGAAAGTTAGACCAAGGTGGATAGCCGTGTTGGTCTGAAGCAATAGAACAAAGTTAGAGTCCAAAATGACACCTTTAAGACCAACAAAGTTTTATTCAAGGTGTGAGCTTTCGTGTGCATGCACACTTTGTCAGATGATGGAATGGAATTACATATCATAGTTGTTTATATAGGAGTGGTTTGTTAAATTAGCATGCAAAATAGTGAGGACACACTTTTTTAACAGATCAAAAGTATAACAAGCTTAGTTCTTGGTTATGATCTCTTTCAGTTCAACTAGGGGGGAGGGGGAACAACATAGGTAATAAATATGTTAGAACTGGAGATTGATGTGCCCTAATTTGTGAGAATCCAATCCTTAGACCCCATCCTGGCCCGTAGCTACCATGGGGCCCACCTGGCCTGGCCCCCTAGTGTTTCTTCTGGGCCCCCTCCCTCCTGAGCTGCCCCCAAAGTGTTCCAACTTACCACCTGCACTGTACTTTCTTTTAATTAGCCGGTGCCCCCCCAAGGCCCCCTCCCAAAGAATTCCCTAGCTATGGGGCTGAATCCATCTCCTTTCAAGCATGGAGGTGAATTTTACAGCATCTTGGCTGTGTAGAGTGTTTTTCTTGTGTCCCCCAAAAAAGAACAAAGAACAAAACAAAACAAAGAAAGTTGCCATACTTCAGCAAAGAAATTTCAAAGTGCAGCTCCAGTGCGAAGCTGCTGAATTGGAATTGATATGCAGATTTGACACTGTCAGACTTGAGTTTACTAAGAACTGGGAATGAGTAAGGTGACTGAGGCTCTTTAGAGGTTTAAATATACTGTTCATATTATTTGCCAGTTTGCAACAGGTGATCCATACCCACTCTCAGTTGATTGTTCTTTTGACTGGTTCTTGTTCATTGTTCTGCAAAATAATGCAACATGCTGCTGTCTTGGTTGCTGGGTCTTCTGGTTTTGGTATTCAAGAACTCTTTCCTCTGCCCCTTCCTTCTTTCTGTACCTGTGTATATATTTCTGGCAACTGAATGTAACTCTTCATGCATCCAATGAAGTGGGTGCTGACTCCTAACAGCTTATGCCATAATACAGTTGTTTGTTATGTAGGGTACCACAAGACACTTTGTTGTTTGGTTGCAACAGGCTAACACAACTAATGCTACACAACAAATCGTTAGACATTTAGACAACTTTAAAGTCTTTTTGTTGAATGATTACATAGTTACTATTTGGAATGTTTAATCAATAATTATAATGTTTATGTTTTACAGGTCCTTAATCAAGTGGACAATAAATTTATTGCTTGTTTAATCAACACTAGGCCAGATGAAAACAAGGAGATGGGTAAGAGTTCTGTCCCTTTAAAATTAATAGAGATTAAACTTTTTGACTGGACATGGAATGGGAACAGAAAAATTATATCAAATCAGCCCAATGGTCAATCTTCCTTAATATTCTTGTTTCTTGTTGTTTCTTTACCATTTTAACCCATGCCAATTCCTATGGATGTACTAGCATGCACAAGATGTGATTTGTGATCTTTCACTGCAAATATTTAAAAAGCAGCATTTGTAGGAAGAGGTAAGCCAAAAGCCAAATTCTGTGCCTGACAGCACTTGCACACAACTAGCTTAGCACAGAGTGAAGCTGATGATAGATATATAAGCAAAGCTTTCTCTGACACTACTATATGAGTAGGTTGGCACAAAAAATAAAAAAAGTTCTTAACTAAAAACCCAACAATGTAAACTATGCTATAAAAATGGCAAAATATGTTGCTTCCAAAGCTGTAAAAACATTAAAAATAAACAGTGCCATCCAGCAAATGCACTGGTTGTGTCAGCTCCAAACTGGATACGTAGAACAAGACCATGCAAAGTAGCTTGAGAAGCTGTGTGAATTCAAATTATGAGAGTCATTTACCATACCAATTAGTGAAATGTTGGTTAACATTGAGTAGATCGTGTCGTGGATAGAGTGCTGGACTGGGAAATCTTATGTTCAAGTCCAGTCAACCGAAGAATTCTTGGGGTAACTGTGGCCATGTCTCTCTCTCCTGATGCCCCTGAGGCCCTCACCCCCTAGGAACTCTGCTTTTTGGTACAGCTCGTTCCCCCATTTTGTACATGTGTACACCTCTGTGTGGGCCTATGTTTGATAGAAGGAGCCTGAATTAAGCTACTATCAAAAAGGTCAGTCCAAGAAAGGAATGCAGGGCAGCTCCGATATCAATCATGCAAGTCCCACCCTAAGAGGGGTTCAGTAGAGGACCATTTCCCCCCCAAGGCCCTTGGTGCCTCTTCCCATCTGAAGAAGTGTAGTCCCACCCTAAGAGGGGTTCAGTAGAGGACCATTTCCCCCCAAGTCTCTGCGGTGGCTCAAGTGGTTAAGACGCTGAACTGCAGACCTGAAGGTCGGTAGTTCGGCAGTTCAAGACCCAAGTACTGCATGACAGAGTGAGCTCCCATCTCTGGTCTCAGCACCTGCCAGCCTAGCAGTTCGAAAGCAAGGAATTGCAAGTAGATAAATAGGTACCACTTCGGTGGGAAGGTAACAGCGTTCCGTGCGCCTCAGTGTTTAGTCATACCGGCCACATGACCACGGAAATGTCTTTGGACAGTGCTGGCTCTTTGGCTTGGAAATGGAGATGAGCACCGCATCCCTAGAGTTGGATTTGACTGGCTTTCGAGCAAGGGAAACTTTTACCTAAGGAGCTATTGGACTCTTGCTCTTTTCTACTGCTACAGACACACTAACACGGCTATCCATCTTGATCTATCTTACCAGATAATTTGATCCTAACTAATGACCCAGACTTTCCAAACAATAAACGATGGGCCTATTCTGGCAATTTCCCAGCTATCTCAACGACTTACATTACAGTCCTGACACGTGTAGACTGATTTGGGTCTCTCTCTCTCTTTCATCCTAGCCTAACCTCACAAGGTGGGAATAAAGTAAAATGAAAACTGAAATACATTTATACTGAAAGTATGATAGAAATAAAGGTGATGATCTTCTTTTTTACATTTCCAGATGGAAACCTTCTTGTGCTGGTGGATCAACATGCCATCCATGAACGTATCCGTCTTGAGCAACTTATCATAGGTACAGATTCAGTTGATGGAGCACAATGGCTTCATTCCTGAGAAGATAATGTGGGGGAAGTACAAACTATCTGATCAGTTGTGGTGACCATGTAATTAATTGCAGAGAATGGAAATATGGTATTAGTTTGATTGGGTACTTGCTCAGGGATGGCCAGTGCCCCCCTCCCCCAGTGATGGCGAAGCATCTGCTGCTTTATTTTGTTCTCTCTTTACACATAATATTTTTTGGCAGAATGCAAATTGCTTAAACTACCTACAAGGGATGTAGCTGCTTCAAACCTTAGGAGATTCTGGCCAGAACTTTACAATACTCAGCAGCAGTCCATTGTGCATGTAACAGTTCATTGACCTCTTCGTCAACAAGAGCTATGAATTTCCTATAGAGAAGAGTCCAAGAGAAACTGCTCTGGTTGTGACTTGGCAGCATAACTGCTAAAGAATGTGAAATGCCCTCTGGGACTGAGGGAAGTGTTTGTTGAAGGGTATGGTAATAGAGTCATACACTTCTAACAGTTCACTCTGTTGTATTGTGAGATGGTCATTTGTTGAAGGAAATGTAATAAATGTTTATTAGGATGGCTACAATTGACACTGGCTGGGAATCTGTGTGTGTTAAGAAGCCTATTGCTGAAGGCAGAGAATAGTACAGAGAATATTTCTATTTCTTAACTATCAGTTACCAGATAATGTGGTCATTTCTTATTGTATACATGTGCAGTGTTCCTGGCTTGAGGGATATGGGGGGGACAGACATTGAGGATGGTTCCTGTATGCTAGTTAAAAAGGAGCTCATTTGTTCTGCCCTCAGATTCCTATGAGAAGCAGTCTGAAGCATCAGGTAAGAAGTTGCTGGCTTCCACTGTGCGTCCACCACTGGAGATTGAGATAACAGAGGAGCAGAGAAGACTCTTATGGTTTGTACTAGCCACTGTGTTAAATATATTGGCTGATTCTTCAATGCCAATGCTGGAGTTTTTCCCAGTGCTGGAGTTTTTCCCAGTATGTGCTGGAAAGATTAGATAGTTCATCAGTTGCAGTGTGAAAGAGAAAAACGAAGGGCCAAGAGAGTCAGTTGTTGGGAAGAAGCTCTGGAGCTTGTGTTTAGCTTACTGAACAGAAGGGTGGGGTGGGGGAGTATGTTGCCAGCTTTCTAATGTTTAAAAGGAAGTCAGAATGAAAGGGGAGGGAATTAATTGTTCATTCTGTCTGCTGAAGTCAGTAGAAGAGGAATAAGTTCACACAGGCAGGGGAATGTCTGGGTAAGCCCTGGAGAAAAGGCTTTAAATAAGAGCACCTAGAGATTTTCCTGTGGTTTGGGTGCCAAATTGCATCAGTTTTTCTCTGAGCTACCTCACAACATGATTTTCCATTTGCTGTCTTTCTGTGGTTTCTTTGTTGTTACTCTGTGTTTTTCAAACCAGATCAAAAATGGTTTGAGAATACATGGAGAGGAAACCACAGAAGGGACAACAAATAGGAAATGATATTGTAAAGAAGACTGGAGTTCTTCAGTTCAGTACCCAACCCATGGGAAAACGTCATGTGAAAGGTCCCAGTATAATAAACACCCTAAGGAATAAACACCCTAAGGAAAATATGAAATCCTGTTATTCAAAGATTTTTCCTAAAAGATTTGCATAGATATTTTGTGTTTTTAATTTTCTGCAATCCATAAATGAGAATCCTTGATTATACATTGGCAATATTAGGGTAATTGATGTTTGACAGTTTTTTTTAACTGGAAGGGAAAATAGCATGGTATAGCCCAGTCTTGTCATAGAATCACAGAGTTGGAAGGGACCTCCAGAGTCCTCTAGCCCAAAGCCCTGCACAATGCAGGAAATTCACAAATATCTTCCTTCACACACACACCCAGTGACTGCTGTTCCACGCCCAGAAGATGACAAAAACCCTCCAGGATCACCAGCCAAACTGGCCTGGAGAAAAATTGCTTCCTGACCCCAAAGTGGTGATCAGCATTTCCCTGGGTGTGTAAGAAAGGACCACAAGAACTAAGCACTGATGCAACCCTTCCTGCCCTCCCCCTCATGAAAGCTCATATCTTGAATAAACCTTTGTTGGTCTTAAAGGTGCCACTGGACTCTAAATTTGTTCTACTGCTTCAGACCAACACGGCTGACTACCTGGATGATCTGCCTAAATTCACAGAAACAGCATTGCTGTCAAATGGCCATCTAGCCTCTGTCTGAAAACCTCCAAAGAGGGTGAGCCCACCACCTTCCAAGGAAGCCTGTTCCACTGAGGAACTGCTCTAACTGTCAGGAAGTTCCTCCTGATATTTAGCCAAAAACTCTTCTGATTTAATTTTAACCTGTTGGTTCTGGTCCGACCTTCTGGGGCAACAGAAAACAACCCTGCACCATCCTTTGTATGATAGCCCTTCAAGTACTTGAAGATGGCTATCATATCACCTCTCAGTCGTCTCCTCTCCAAGCTAAACATACCCAGCTCCTTCAACCTTTCCTTATAGGACTTGGTCTTGGAAACTAAGCAGAGTTCGTACTTGGATGGGAGACTACCAAGGAAGACTCTGCAGAGGAAGGCAATAGCAAACCACCGCTGCTTCTTACTTCCCTTGAAAGCCCATTGCTGGGGTCACCATAAATCAGTTGCAGCTTGATGGCATGTACATACATAATTATTTTCTTCTGATTACAGTAATTGTGGAGGCCCTGGGCAAATACTTTTCAGCCTAGTTTCAGGTTTATAAAGAAGATCCTTGTATTCTTTTCTTCACAGTAAAACTGCACATCTGTCCAAATTAACTCAATTTTTCCTTACTGTTTATTTGTTTAGACCGTATTCTAATACAATTATAATTAAAATGAAAAATGGACATTAATTTGTTATTAAAATAATCTACCACATTATTTTCAAAATATTCCTATCATATATGGGCCACCACAAAAGCAGACACCACCTTTCAATGGAGAAAGCAAGTTCTGTGCACCCTATAATAGTCTCTGCTATGAATGTGCTTCCTCTTCCACTAAAACTTCCGTTTGTGCATGATCTATGGTTTTCAGTGGGGCCTTGCATATACAGAAATTTTAGCAGAAGAGGAATCACACTCCACAGCAGAGACTATCCCTCACAGACAGAACTAATTCATTATGATCCAAGCCAATATCCAAATTAGCAAGAATCTTTTCTTTGTAAAATGGGCTCAAAATATTTATGTCCCACCTTCTTGTGAATAAATAATTCAAGAGATAATGTGGGAAATGCTTTATTATAGCCTGCTTTGTTTTTTAGAAAGTGTAGTAACTATGGCTTGGGATTTTGAGCATCCGAAGAACGGGGAATATCTGGGGCTGATCTTCCATTTCTGAGGCTTGTGCTTAAATTTTAATTTGCAGGTGCTGTCACAAAAGTCTAGAGGAATGGGGCCTTGAATTATCCTTTCCGGAGAATAATCCCTTGCAGATTCTGGTAGGAAAAGTGCCACTGTGTTTTGTCGAGAGAGAGGCCAGTGAATTGCGCCGTGGAAGACAGACAGTGGCTAAGAGCATTGTGCAGGTGAGATGGAGATGCAAGAAATCTATTGGATAGGATTCAGTGCCGCCTGAGTGGAAAAGAAAACATACTCAGTGCAGTTCCACTTGTGCAAACAGCAGTGCAGCAGCAGCACATAGTACTGCTTTCAACTGTATTCAAGCAAGCTGAGGGTACCTGCTTTGAACTATAAGGAAAGCTGGGATATGAATATTTTATTAAATAACACATTTCCTTTAAGAGATACTGGTCATGTTCCCTTGGGGGGAACAAGCATTTTAATATTGTGTTTGTGAGCTCATTATATAGGGTACTTCTTGGTTTCATCCACATACTTTCCCTTGATACTGCTGGTATATTATACTCAGTATATCCTCTGTGTAATAGAGAGTGGTGGCGCAGGCAGTAAAAAAGCCTGCAAGGTAATCCATCAACAGCTTTAAGCTGTCCGAGTCCCACCACGGCCAGGGTGAGCTCCCAGCCCGTGTCCTAGCTCCCGCCTACCCAGCGGTTCGAAAGCCTAGCAAGTAGATAAATGGGTACCTGCCTTAGGTGCAGGGGGGCACCCGCCTTCGGGTGCAGTGACGGCAAAAAAAGAACTGTGGTGCTGGTGGCAGGCAACGGTGACGCCGGCGAGGCGATCCGGCAAGAACATGGCGGCGAGTTGACATTGAGCAGCAGGCGGGGATTGGTCCAGAGACGCGGCAATGCAGCATGGCCAGAGCCAATCGGACAGAGGCCAGTGCAGCAGTCGTCGCACAATCACAGGCTGTGGAACTACCCCAGAAGGAGCCGCTGCAGAGCCGCGCCGAGATAGAACCCACCACGAGGAAGCCGCAGAAAGAAGAATATATTAAAAAAAAGAAGCCTGGTAGGCACTCACCTTCCCGATACATTGTGTGGCCCTAGCTAGAAAGTTATAAAATCCCCATGTAAACCGCTCAGAGCCTCCGGGATGGAGCGGTATGAAAATTGAATAAATAAATATGTGGTATGTAACGTTTGTTATCTGAGGTTATGATAACCACTGTGATGGATGGATGACTAATGATTGTGAAGCTGAACACAACTACATTAGACTGATTTGCATCTTTTTGCCATTTTATTTTAGGAGTTCATTCGAGAGCAAATTGAGGTATGTTATGAATTGGATAGACTTCCACATTACCTTCCTAATGCAGGGATGTATATTTGAATTCTTGCTTTAGAATCTTTCAGACAAGACTGGATCTCCAGCATGTTCTTCCTTTGTGAATAGCAGCAACAGGACTATAGTTTCAGAGAAGGGGGCAGGGGAGGAACCCTCCCCACCATGTTGCTTTCCAGATCTCCTCATATGACACATTCCTAGAGCTGGTATTTGCACTGCTGGGGGATCCATTCCAGCATTGTACAACAACCTATATCCTTCCCCAATCCGGGCAAATAGCAGCTGTCCTTCCACCTTGTAAGGATTACAACAAAATAATGTGTGTGAAGTATTTTGAGCACTGAAAGCACTATATAAATGCTGAGTGTTGTTATTGTTGGAGCAGTCTAGCTATTTCAAAGCAAATGTTTACTCTGGCCCACTGATAGGAGGAAGTTCACTCCCTTCTTTAGGACTGTAAAATGGAGGGTAGCTTCCAAAACAAGTACAATAAAGAACAATCCACAGAAGGGAGTAAGGGCGGGGTATAAATCAAACAAATAAATAAAATGTTCATTAATAAAATAGTTATTCATTAGGTGAACTGTATATATCTGTAAACTGGGTAGAGAGAGTAAAATAAACATTCTACATGCCACATGGATTGTTGTGATTCTAAATTAGGTGGGTGGGGAACGGAGATTTATGTTTTTACATTTGAAGGATGATATGTAAATCCTCTCTTAGTCTGTATAACAGAATCGCTAATGATAGAGACTCTCTTAGTCTGTATAACAGAATCGCTAATGATAGAGACCAAACAGCCAAAGAGTAACTCCAAACAGAGATGACTCCAGGACGTTTGGGGGATTGTACACAGGACAACAATAGTGAGCCCCCCCTCCCCCCTCCCCGCTCTCACCAAGGAATGAGGCTGAAGCCTGCTTGTTCAGCTGCTTCCACAAGGGGGTGCCAAAATCTGTGCTGCCACAGGTAGCAGCAGCGTGTGGCACAGGAACTATATCTAATTGTTGGGATGTTTTCTTAATCTTTGAGAAATGCAATAATGTCTTTCTGCTTTCAGCTACTACAGACCACAGGAGGAGCACGAGGAACACTGCCACTAACAATTTTGAAGGTTTTGGCTTCCCAGGCTTGCCATGGTAAGGAATATACTCTCCATGCCACCTGCTTCTTTCACAGCACACTTCTAGCCCTTTCAGACTACTCAAGGATAACTTTGTTAAAAGCAGGGTAGTATAGATTGTGGCTAAATGAGTACCCCCAAACATCATTCTATCATTAGGGTCTAGCAGCTCAGTAAATTGCATGTTCCCTGTAATAAATAAAACTAGCTGCCTGTGGGGACCATTTCACCACAGGCACCTCTGACAGAAGAATCTGGAAGCATAATATTATGATTTTGTTGTGCTTTCATTATATTCCATTTTTATTTATTTTTGGAACATATCTCTGAATACTAGACATTAGGGAAAGGACACATCTTTAAGTCTGACTTGTAAATCTGATCTGGCAAGACAGCTCTTATGTTTTTAAGTGAGGAAAGGGCCAGGCTCCCGTCCTATTCAGCTTCAGAGCTAGGAGGGAACTGCTCCTGCTTGCAGAACTTCAATTTCTGTATTTCTCCCCCCTCTCTTGCAGGTGCAATTAAGTTTAATGACCCATTGACTTTTGAGGAGAGTTGCCAGCTAATGAAAGCTCTGTCTTGTTGTCAGTTGCCCTTCCAGTGTGCTCATGGGAGACCCTCCATGCTGCCTCTTGCAGATACCTCTCACTTGCAGCAGGAAAGTCAGGTACATGCTATGAAGCTGATAAAAATGCATAGGATGATTTAACTGAATGCGCTTGTCCTATGCAGATCCCATACTAACCAACAACTTAGTTCTCCTTCTCTTCTAGTTTAAAAGCAACACGTTCTTCATGTGGCACAGAGATAGTGGTTAACTGAAGGGTTTTTCCATATTTTTTAAATGTGTCAGAGTGCAGAAAAGGGGAGAACCTTTTTTTGGCTTACTGAAAATGTTTCATTAAGTAGGAAAGGATAATGAAGTATGATGTTTTCCTCAAGATCTCTTTTCCAAATGGACCATCTAAGATGGTGGGGATATCATGCAGACAAGACCCCAGTTGAAACATGCCTCTATGCTTATGTGGTATGTAAAATCCTCACCTTAATTCTTGCAGGATAACCTACAAATAAGGAAACTACAAGTCTCATAGGGCCATGGCAGACAATATGGCTCAGTGTCTGCAGTGCTGGATTTAGACTTAGGACTTTTGAATTAAAATACCAACTCAGCCATGGTCTCATGGGGGTAGTATTAGGCATATCATAAACCCAAAGCCTTTGTTTGCCTCATAAAATTAGACTATAGACTGCAGTACCGGACAGGCTGCTGCTGCCTGCTCTCTTTTGGTGGCAACAGGATTGAGGCACCCTGAGAGGAATGGGCCCCCATCTACGGGATGGTGCAGGGCTGCAATAGCAATACCTCCCTCCTCTCAGGGCAGAAAAAGGACATGCAATGGCAGCTTGCTTGCCTGGGTGTGTACTGATAGCTGCTAGAAGCAACCATTATCCTTCCCTGCACACTTCCCCCCAAAGAACAAGCAGCAGCTTTAGGTGTGGTCAGTACTGGACCTTCTCCAGACCTGTCTTGGCGTTCCATCATTCCCAACTGCTCTCCTCCCCCACTCATCCAAAGCAAGAACATCAATGGGGCTCCAAGCAGCTTTTGCTCATTTGCTGCACTTTTGACTCAGATAGTGGCTGCAAAACAAATTTTCATGTAGCATGGGACACGGAAAAAAATGCTTACATGATAAGATTCTTACTAAATACTACTTCTCCCCTTCCCATCTAGGTTTTCCCATCAATGTATCTAATTCTCATCATGGCAAATCTGTGGATACTTAAATCCTGAAACTGTACCCGTGAACAAATAAAAAGTCTTTTTGCAAACCTGAGAAAAGCCCCAGCATTGCAGAAAAATATGAAATCTTTTTTTAAAAATGGGGGACTAACCCTCTCAAAATAACAGAAGCTGCACCTGTAGCATTAAGACACAAATGCTCTCAGTGACCATTGCTAGGCAACCACAACTGTATTGCCAGCCTTCAAGTCTTGGTTTTTGTCAGCAAAAGGCAGGGAGAGGGGCAGGGCCTTTTTCAGGGCTGTTTTAGTGTTTGAGGGAGGACTCGTTGAGCAAGGCCTGGCAGCAACCAGCAGGTGTCTTGATAGCACCACAACTGGATGACTTAGCCAGGAATGACTGTTTGCTACTGTTCCACAGCAGCCACCCCACTAGTGGTTAGAGTTACAGTAAAGTCAGTGTGGTATAGTGGTTAGAGTTACACACTAGGATCTGGAGATCCAGGTTTAAACCCCAACTCTGCTGTGGATGCTTACGTGATGAGTTTGGGCCAATCACACACACTCAGCTTAACCTTCCTCACAAGGATAAAATGGAGGAAAGGAGAACAATGTAAGCAGCTTTGGGTCCCCATGGGGGAGAAAGATGTATGAAGGTATATATGAAGTAACTAAATAATAAACCTATCTGGAAAAGGGAGGGCAGATAAAAGGTAGGTTGGTGGGTGGGAAGGAGAGAAGGGAAGGTGAGGATATGAGGGTTGCTAAGAAGAGGGATTTTTTTAAAGAGGAATCAGTGTGGGGAAGGAGATGCACGTGAAAATGAGATGCCTCCAGCCAAGTCCTAGCAGGTTCCTGACTGTGCAAGTGGGACATAGTTTCCCCACGTACAGGCTGCTGGGGCAGGGAAGGAGGGAAAGCTGAAGATAGAGGAGCAGATAAAAGGAGGCTGGCTGGCTGGCTAGTGGGAAGTAGAGAAGAAAGCAGGAAAATGAGAGAGGCTATGGGGCTTTCACAGAAGAGAAACAGGAAAAATGGGGGAAGGTAAAATGAGATGCCTCCCACAAATCCTTGCAGGTTTTCCGCTTGTTTTGCTTTAGTTTTGTATTTGGAATAAATGTTTAATTATCACCTGTACACATTACTTTTTGGGAGGGAAGATATTTGTATGGCACAGATTCTCATTTATTGTACATAAACCCTCTGATCATGTTCTTAGCATGAATATCTATTTGTATAGAAAATAATCATGGTCATTGGATTATATTCTCTCTGTTGAGGCATGTGGTGTCAAATCATTAAATGCCATTTCTTCCTCCAGCCTAAGCCTAATCTGGCTAAACTAAGAAGAATGGCTAAAGCCTGGCAGCGCTTTAGGAAAGAAAAGGATCTCACTGGGAAAACATAAGCCCTATCTCAGTGCTTCATTGGTTCCAAGCATCTCTTCTCCAGCAGCTCCTCCTCTGGAACACAAACTGGTGAGGCCCATCTTGCAGCCTTGCAAGCGCAGCAGCAGAAAGCACTTCAGCATTCTGATTGCAGAAGCAGCCCAAAACTCTGTACTTCAAATATCCCTAATGGAGGCAAAAACTAAGTTCTGTTTTCCTGGGGAACAGGGAAGGTCTCCATCTTGCACTAAAACTGTGTAAATAAAGACACTGGAATGACTATTTTAATTAACAACATACCCTTTACTCTGAGGAAGCAGTAGCTATCATAAACCAAGACCACATACGTGGCCACGATTTTGATTGCAAGTGTTGCATACGCCAAGCAATATTACAACCTGTCCTAGTGTTTTGATATCATCTGTAGCATGCATTGTACTCAAATGCTAATTAATCATGGGGAAACACAGAATGCAGGCCAAAGCTGCTTTGTGAATTGTCATAAGAATCAAAAAGGGCTTTTCATGCAACTAATTCTTATAGCAACAGATTGCTATCTGCAAGTTAAAGGTAATCTGTGTTGCCATTTCTGAAGGTATAAAACACCCTCACTAAGTAAAACAAAAACCTGACTGTTTGTTTATAGGTTCTGGTGGCATTGAAATGCGCCCCCCGCTTCCATAGCTGCTGCTTCAAACAGTAAAGTGGAAGACTCAGAGGAGCCTTTCACTAGGGCATTTAACAGACTGAAGGTAGCTTTTATTGCAATTCCTTCTGCGATTAGGCTGTTACTGAGGCATTCCACTGTTGACTGTTATACAATGATGCTCACCCAGAATATTTGCAGGGAAGGAATTACCTTCTGTTGTTTAATAAAGCTGAACAAACACATACAGCTTGAGAGGAGCAGTTTTGCTGATAGTGAAAAGCATGGTCAGAGGACAGCAAGTTTTGAAGACAGCAGTGTCAAGTTTTTTGCTGCCTAATATTTATATACCTTATTTCTTCATGGAAATCAATGTATAAATGTATTATGTGATAAGTTATGTCCACAGTTCAGAGTTCACGGTCATCCGGGTGATAGAGCTCACTCATGAGTCGATAAATGTAGGAAGGAGCATTGCCTCCAATGTTTGAGATGAAGAGAGTGATAAGTTCAGGAGGAACATAGTCAAAGACTGGACAATGAACGTTGACTTTAGACAGAATCTCTCCTGAAAGAAAAACATTGAAAATAATGTTGAAAAGTGAGGAGAGCACAAAAAACAACCTCAGCTTTTCATTGGCACTGGTTGTCTATATGATATGCAAAGAAGAAGCCCACCATCTATGCAGCATCAAGACGGCAAGACAAATACCTTGCCATTTGTGCTTTACTGTTTGGTCATAGAGCATAGAACAATCGTAGGCATGTTTACTCATAAGAACATAAGAAGAGCCCTACTGGATCAGACCATTGGTCCATCTAGTCTAGTATCCTGTCTCACAAAGTGGCCAACCAGTTCCTCTGGAGTGCCAACAGCAGGGCATAGAGACTCCTGATGTTGCTTCCTGGCTCTGGGATTAAAAGATTTAGTCCTCTGAATGTGGAGGTTCCCCAGTAGCCATTGACAGACTTATCCTCCATGAATCTGTCTAATACTCTTTGAAAGCTATTTATTCCTGTGGCCATCACTACATCCTCTGGCAGCAAATTCCACATTTTAATGTAAAGAAGTATTTCATTTTGTCCATCCTGAACCTACTGCCCATCAGCATCATTTAGATGCCCTTGAGTTCTAGTATTACAGGAGAGGGAGAAAAACTTCTCTTTGTCAACTCTCTCCACCCCATGCTTACTTTTATAAATCTCTATCATGTCCCCCTTAGTTGTCTCTTTTCTAAACGGAAAAGTCCCAGACTCTTCAGCCTTTCCTCATAGGGAAGGTGCTCCAATTCCCTAATCATCTTGGTTGCCCTCCTCTGTACTTTTTATAGCTCTGCAATGTCCTTTTTGAGATACGGGGACACACCCTAGATCTATACAGGGGCATTACAATATCAGTTGTTTTATTCTCAGTAATTCCTAACATAGTTTGCCTTTTTCCTCGCTGCAGCACACTGGGTTGACACTTTCACTGAGCTATTCACTACAACCCCAAAATCTTTTCCCCTCTCAGTCTCAGCAAGTTCAGACTGAATTAGCCTATATCTGAAGTTCAGATTTTTTTGTCCCAATGTACTCAGAAGAATTCTCATTGGGTCATGAATAGATTTGCAGCACTGTAAGCATGCTTACAACTGCAGTTATGAATTCTGCCTATTTGGGTGATCAAACTAAACCTTTCAGGTGGTGGTAGTGGAGAGTGCCATTAGGTCACAGCCAACTTATGGTGGCCCCACAGAATTTTCAAGGGAAGAGATGCCACTGATTTCCCATTGCCTGCCTCTACATAGCAACTCTGGACCTCCTTGGTAGTCTCCCATTCAAGTACTAACCGGGGCTGACCCTGCTCAGCTTCTGAGATCTGATGAGACTGGGCTAGCTTGACCGAGTGGGATATCATTGCCAGGTCAGATTGGTCCTTTATATGAAAGTTCACATTCCCCCAAAATAATCTGGAATAGAAAGCCTACTAAAACAGGCTAATTGTTTTCAACCAGGTACATGAGATTCATTAAAATCATGCACCAATGCATATTAGAGACTGAGCATAATTTAGTTATACAATGCTACACTCATATTCCTTTATATACTACACAAGTGAATGGGCCAGAAGAGGGCAAACTCTTTGACTTTTTTCAATCAGTTAAACCACAGAGCAGTTAATGGTCAAAGGAGTTGCAGAAATAAGCAATAAAGTATTTAAGTTCATCCCATACAAAAACTTAATTCCTCAGGAATTCCAGAATCATGACATCATGGGTACCTCCTCTCAAAAAGATTTTTAAACAAAGGATCTTTACCTTCTGTGAAAGGCAATACTTCCTGTGGAGAGACAAACTTATGGAAAGAATCTTCTTCATTAAGGAACTGGAAGAGAGAACAGCAAAAGGAACATCATTGTCATCTTGTATTTGACACCCCTCCCACAGAGCCTATCTTCACAGTTTTAAAAGCATAACAATTGCGGGTCTCGGGACTCCAAAACTGGTATCCAATACTAGTCTCCACTTATACAGGGCAACAGACTACATATAACCCTGGTTTATACCATAAGCTCTATTGCAATTACAGTTACAGCCACAAATATAAGATAGAACTGTAGAGCATTGGCACAACTATCTTGGAGTGCCTCCTCTTTTCAGGTCTTACTGGCAAAACTACCTTGCTTGCACTAACAAAGACTTCATATTAGTCTACTGATAGATTTTGCCTCTTGTTTGTTTTGAGCATGAATGCTTCTCTGCATCAGAGATACCTTTTCATAGGTCAAGGCACCTACCTGTGGTGTGAGCTTGAACATGGGTGCACAGACAATGAGAGGAGTAGAGTGGTGTTTGGCTGCTAATGCCAAGGTGTGAGTCCCACTGATAGCTATCAATGCACCATTGGCCAATATAGTCTTTGTCCCAATAATGACCTACAAAATACACATGAGTATTAGGAAAGAATGCATGAATACAAATTAGAATGAAGGGGAAAGTTAGTTTCTAATGCTATGGCATGACATGTTGTGATGATGATGATATTTATATTCATATTTAGCATCCATATATGCTAGAACAATCTACTAGGGGGGAAAAACCCTTGTTACAGTAGTAAGACTAAGGCTGGTCTTCAGTCTAAATCAACAAACTTTCCTTTTGATTATGGGATCACAGCACATCATGTAGACAAGCAGCCCTCCCTGTTCTCTTATTTTAATATCTCCAAAAGTAGGAGAAGCTGTCTGTTAGGAGGTTGCCAGGTTGCTGAAATGCTGTCACTAATGTAATATACATATTCCAATTAAGAAAAACAACTTCAACAACAGCAACTTTGTGTTCTTTTCAAAACAGACTTTCTTTACTCAGTGGCTTGAGTCACCATTCTTGTTCCAACATGTTCCTTAAACCAGTTTGAGGGGATAGAGTGTCTTTTAGCATACGTATAGTCATGGGTGTTTTTGATCACTTCAAGATGTGCAGAGCAGATGCCTCCCTTTTTATAGATTTGTAGCATTTGGTGGACATTAAGAGTTCTCTTGGACCAGAGCCCCTCCTCCTTGCATTACCTCTTTTCAAACCGCCCATGAGGCTTAAACACACTGACACTCTTGGTTTTCCCTTGGGGAAGGAGAGGACAGAAGTCAAGCAGCCTGCTCATGCCTACCTTGTTGACTCGAGACATAACAGCAAAGATGGCTGCATCACTCATGACTGTGGTTTCTATATCCTCTTTGGCCAAACGAACAGCCATTTCATGGCCCTGCTCCCAAAACAGAGAGAGAGAGAAAACTGAAGATTGTAGAGGGAGAGGCTGGGCAAGTAAAGCTTGTGCCTGCTTATCATGCAAAGTCCAACCAATGGTCCCTCCAAACTCAGCATTCGTTTTTATCAACAGGTAGCCAGATAGATGCCTTAGCACAGTGGCAATAACCATCTCCTCTTAACCCTAATATCAGGTAACCGGATTTCTGAAAATGGAGGTACGCTTTTAGCTTCAGCTATCACTGCTGATCCGTGACACCTATCCTCCAAGCATTTCCCTATTACTTTAAAAAATGCTACCATTACAAAGCCACACGGCAATGGTTTCCATAGATTCCTTGTGTTTTGTTTTAATCCAGTGATTAATCATAGAATCATAGAGTTGGAAGGGGCCATACAGACCATCTAGTCCAACCCCCTGCCCAATGCAGGACCAGCCTAAAGCATCTCTGACAAATATTCATCCAACCTCTTCTTGAAAGCTGCCAGTGAAGGGGAGCTAGCCACCTCCCTAGTTAGCTGATTCCACCCCTGAACCACTCTGACCATGAAGCGCTTCCTTGCATCTGAAAAGTGCTCTTTATCTGTTCTCGGAATTTGTTTTTTTAAGACTGTATTATCTAATATTTAATTTCTCTACATGGCTCAAGATTCCTATATCAAGCTGTCTGACAATGTCTTCATAACAACATTGTCCTGCCTGCCCAAGTCAAAAGCTTAACACGGGAAAACACAGTACTTTCTCTGGGAATACTTGCTTGAATCAGCATCTCCTGATGGAAAAGGTGGCCAGCCTTCCATAGCCCACTTTCTGTTCAAATGGCCTGTGCATGCCCTCATAGGAAAGATACATATGTAACGGTGGCAGCATTTTGTAATCAGCACCGAACAACAAACTCATAAATCCCAGACAACAAGCTTTACCTGGCAGAAGGGTGCACATTCAGCCACAATGACATGGAATTTCCTTTTCCGTGCTGCCTCCTTCAGGAATGACTCCACTGTGTGTGAATAGCCAATGGTCATGATCACCTCATTGGAGTGGATGTGCTCCAGTGCTTGCATGGCAATGTTGTCGGTTGTACCCTCTGCAACGAAGAGTAGTCCATCCATGAGAGGAGAGCCAGGTCCAACACATCTTCACTGAACTAACTAGAAACTAGGACCACAGTTAAAATAGCATGCAAACTCCCATCTTTTCCTACCACATCTGAGTATAACCTAATATACTGATTGGGTCTTCTGGCACTAAGAAGAGAGAGCACGTGCACTGAATACATAGTACTTGCTCAGTGAAAGTCAAGTTTGCAATCACATCATGTCCATTCTAGCTTTAATAAGCCCTGCAAGGCACAGTTATGGTTCCTTCCAGGAAAACAGTACTTCTCTATGACAAGTCTTGAATACATTTCTTTGCCTCCACAAGCCAGCCCCAAAATTTAGGAGACAGGCTCATTTTTCAGTCTCCATGGTTTTGTATTTTTATGACCATGTTTTCTAAGTGCCACAATTAAATTTTTAGGCACCATGGCAAGCTGGTGCCTAGGATTTGTCAAGCCTTGCCCTACAATGCTGTCCTAGCTGCCTGCACCTGTGCCACTTATGATTAATAAGCCCGTGTCCTCTAATAATTTTACTTGTCTCCTTTCACTGCTGATATTGCAGGTAGGAAGACAGCCCCTTGTCGTTATCTGGGATGCAAAATTTCAGCAAGATTTAGTACTGGAATTGTGCCTCTCTCAATGAATAGCAACTGTCTAGTTTCCAAGTTCCCAGCTGAACATATGAATCTGCTGCATATAGACTCTTAGTCCAGTATTGCCGGCTTAGACTGTTGGTAGCTATAGGATCTCCAGCAAAGAAAAAATCTTTCTGAAACACCTAATACCTAAAATCTTTTAACGGCAGATGATCGTGGTTAAACCTAGGACCTTTGGCACCTAACAGCTATGTTCTACTTCTACAGTACAGTCCTCACCTTTTATTTCTGCTGTCATCTCTTACCTAATTCAATTAACAGCTCACTAATAGCTTCAATTACATTAGCCCTGAGTGGACTATAGTGGGTGTTGAAGTCCTCATTGAGACCTCCTGAGGTCAGAAGTTTGTGCAGCGACTCCTGCTGGTCACTCTCCTCACTGCGTCCTCTGAGCCTGTGGAACCAACAGACTCTATCAAATCATGAAAAACCAAGAAAATACTACCGTTCTGGAAGCGTAGAGGATCCCATGCATGATTGGGAGGAGCATGTGGCTTCCTGCACAGGTAAGAAGTCATATCTTCTCCTTACCCCTGAGAAGTATCCTTAGCTTGTCAAAGTGAAAAAGAAAACATATTTTGGGAAGAGCTGCTCTACCCTCTCTTCAGGTGTTAAAAAATCTAGTTTTTAAAAAAGTTTTTAAAAATCTGCCTCTGAACAAAGTGAGGGGAGAGACAATAACTGTACAGAGAAGAAAAATATACTGCTTTGGAAGCTCTGGGACTGCTTTTGAGAGGTAATGCTGTCTAGTGGTTAGTGCTGGGCTAAAGCCTGAGATCAAATCCCCATTGTTATAAAGCTCACTGGATGACTTTGGGCCAGTCACCTATTTGTTGTTGAGAAATTTTGGAAGGGGGAAGGGACGTGTTTTCTTCAAGCTCTTTAAAGAAAAAGGCAGGATAAAAATGCATAGACAGACAGAGGCGACAGAGGGAGAGCTCAAGAGAAACTTTCAGCTGTTGTTAACCAATTGAAGAGAGAACATATGGTTATCCTTATAATTTGCTTCAAGAGACTGGGAAGCCAGAGAAATGAATTTTAAGTATAATCAGATGTTTTTAAGTCTCCAAAGCACTACCAACCAGTTATGCACACTGGAAACTGAGCCGTGTGATCTCTTCAAAGCCAAATGTTATGAGCAACCTTGTCCACACTTGCTATTAAAGAAGAGTGTTGGGCAAAAAAATAGCACATACAAAGCATCCTTAATTGAAAGAAAGTACTTTATCAGGCACGGTGGCAACAAATACACATGGCAATAAAGCTCAGTAAGAATCTTTAAGGGAGTCTTTCTGCTAAAGACCTTCCCACAAAAGACTGGATGGCTATTTTTTTAAGTTGTTGGTGAGGTCATCTTTATTAGAAGGGGTGGTTTGATTCTGTCCACAAAAGACCACCACTGAACATGTGAATCTCAAAGGACAAGGACATATGTAGCCAACAGAAGCAGCTTCACCTGCCATACTCCTCACGAATTATCTTCAGCACCCGTCGCACCATGTTGCCCACAGTGGTCTCAGATGGCTGCGCAGCAGTCATTCTCCGGCCTTCCTTACGAATCAAATCCATCAGCTCTCCTAAAAAGAGTAAGGATGATGATCTGGTAACTCCTTTTCAAAGTGTAGGATTTGCCCATTTAGTTCCAACAGTATACATTCATAAAAGATTTCCATACAATCTATTGCTCTGCCTTTCCACACAATTAGCAGGAAACTGTGTGGATACATGGCATGCTCCTTCACCTTACCACTTTTCACATCATGAAGCAAATCTATCTGCCTTTACCAGGGATACACTTCCTGAGCTCCCAATTGTATGTTATAGCCCTGACTTGGAGTGCAGGAAATTGGCCTTACAGGAAACAGTCTTAGGATCTAGACCACCTGGTTTGAAACCTTCAAATAAATAAATACTAGTGTTGTCCTTGCTTTATTTTCTAACAAAACATGTTACTTTTGAAGCAGAGAACACTCTTTGTACCTATAAAGTCTTGCAAGCAAAAGCTTTACTACTGAAACTACAAAGAACTGTTCATATCAAAATGAACTTTCAAAGAAGTCCTATACTCAGTCTTTCTGCAAAATCAGCATAAGTTTTATTCTCTGGAGAATAGTATTTATTTATAGTGCCATCCGGGGGTGGGGGGAGAGTTATGAATGCGAAGAAAGTCTGTCAACAAGACAGGAGTTTGTGCATGCCGCGGAGGAAGCTCAGTCCTCACTCGCTCCTCCTCACCCGCATTATCCCAGCGCCCGTGAGCCACGATCCTCCGAAGCAGCCCCACGGTTTGCCGGGCAGCGTCCTCCGAGCGCGGCTGCTCCCCGCCCCGCTTCAGCAGCGCCACGAAGTCCTCGATCTGGCCAGACAATTCCGACTCTTTCTTCGTCGCTGTCACTGCCGACATTTCGCCGACTCGGGGGAAAGGAAGGGGGAACTGTTCAGCGGCGGGACTGGAAAGAAAGGGATCCACAACAGGCCGGAATGCCTCCGAGAAACGGACGTCTTTCCGGTTCAGGACCGTTCCTATTGGCCAAGGGAACATGTGGGCCCTGGCTGAGTACAAGTCGTATCAGGGGGCGGAGTCTTCCTGCACAGCGTCTACGTATTGGGGGGGGGGGGGGTGTTTGGGTTTGCATTGATTTAATTTGGATCACAGCAGGTGGGTTTTATGTGGCTCCTGAAAGTCGAACACCTTTGGTATGGAATAAGGTTTTGTATCTGAATTAACACACGCTTACGCCACAACGCATCTGTTCTTTAAATGCCATAAAATATTATACACGCACACAGACCCTCCACTTCCAAAGCTAACACTTTTTGGCTCATAGGGGCTAAGGGAGCCTTGCTACATTTTTAAACCACTTCCGCACTGTCATTTTTGTCACTCGTTTGTCCATAGTGCTTCAGCCCCTCCCCCCATGTGTTTTGCTTTCTCTAGTACCAGGGGGAGCAAAACACATGTGGGGGGGGGGGGGCAAAACAATACGGAAAAACAAGTGACAAAAGTGACAGTGCGGAAGTGGATACACGGCTATAAAAGCCAGGATGGTCACCCTTTCCAAATTATAGCTCTTTATGCTTAGAGGAGAAATGCTGTGCTGCAGTCAGAAGCTGGAAAAACTACACTTTCTTACATGGGGTGATTCTAGACTGACTGTTTTCTGTGAAGTGTACACGTTTCACTCACCCAGTTATTCCAGAGTTGTAACATCACTCCTGAACATTGCTGTCATGTGTTTTCCCACTGTACTTCTAATTTTTCCTCAAATGTTGATTTATGATTCCCCCCCCCCCCTTTTGCAGGGGTAAGACTGTTGGTGTGGTGTAATAGCTATGCCAGACTAGGATTAGGATCTAGGAGACCTGGACTCAAATCTCCAGTCCGATATGACTTTTGCTGGTTGACCTTGGGGAAGTCATCCAGTGCAATGCTAAATGGGCTCAGATGGGTGATGCTCTGTTTAGAATAACATTGATTCTCTTTCAGCCTAACCTTTCTCACAGTCACAGGACAAGGTAGAACCATGTGCACTGCTCTGAGTTTCTTGGAAAACAGGCAGAATGAAAATAGATATGTGGTCTTGTGTTATAAGCAACGTTCCCTCTAAGCTGTGGAATCTTGTGAGCAAAAATTCTACTTTGTGAGCTACTGGCATTAAAGCTGTGAGCAAGCGATTTGGCTACTGCATCAATTGGTTTGCTCTGGAACCCTCCTTCCTGAGCTAAGACAGAAATGTGTGAGCTGGAGGCTAAAAAACTGTGAGCTAGCTCACACTAACCCAGCTTAGAGGGAACAATGGTTATAAGTTTTCGGTTGGGGTGGTATTAGCTAAGGTATGGCTCCTTCGATCCAGTGCTGTGTGATAAAATTAAGTTCCCTTTTTTTCTGGCCCCACTGGTGGACATCCTGATGGCACCTGGGTTTTTTTGGCCACTGTGTGCCAGTGTGTTGGACTGGATGGGCCATTGGTCTGATCCAACATTGGCTTCTCTTATGTTCTTATTTACCAGTGGAGAAACCTTTCTGCAGATGAGACCAGGGATCCTCCAGAATATTTGTGCTGCTTGCAGATAAAGAATGCCGATTTTACTGAACAGGACTTCAAATAAAATCATGGAAGGCATCTTTCTTTCTCTGTGGTTTTATAGAAAGTAATAAAAGGTAACCAAGAATGCAGTGTGTTATATGATTTCCCTTTACCAGAGTAACGAAACTGAAATGGAAAAGGCCAGGGAGTGATTAAAGAAGAAAGGTAGAGCCAAAGGGAAGGGCCAAATGGAAGGAGTGTGATTAGGAAAGGAAGGGGCTGTACCAAAGGGGAAAGGGACCCGGGTGTATTCTGTTGCCCAGGGCCTACAGAAACCTGGAACCAGTCTGTGCTGCGCACACATCATGAATCTGCTGAGGGCTTTATGCTATAGTTGGATTACATTGTAGTGAAGTTCTCAGACTACAATCCCACCATGAACATTTCTATTTATTTGACTTGTATGAAGCAACATTGTTCAGTCAGACTAAGCTCTGAAAGACCCAGGTTTGAATCACTGCTCTGTGACATGGGAGCCTGCGGGGTGACTTTGGCCAGTTACCTACCCTCAGCCTAACGTACTTCACAGACAGTTGTGAGGATAAAATGGAGGAGAGGAGAACAATGTAAGCCACTTTGGGTCCCCATTGGGAAGAAAGGCAGAGTATAAATGAAATAAATAAATCGACTTCAGAGGATTTAAAAAGTTGCAACTTCGTTGAGGGCTGCCTTGTCAATCCTTCAGTTTCCTATAAGCAAGACCGAGAAATCTTCAATACTTACAGTACCCTCTTCAGCATTATATCTGCAAGTTTTAGAATTGTACAGAATGTGTACCTAATTGATTTGCTTTTTTGCTACTTGTAACTGTGAGAGGGCACAATATGTTTGAATTACATAGTAACTAGATCTCACATGCTTTTTTGAATTCTGAAGGTCTGAACATTGAAATTTTAAGGAAAGAAGGTATCAGTCAGCAATTAGTGTTGCCCAGGGGTTGTTTCGTAGAAAAAGTGCTAGGGGAACTCATTAGCATAACTCATTAGCATATGCCACACCCCCTGACATCACCGGAAGTGTGTCATAAGGCCACACCCCCTGACATCACCGGAAGTGTGTCATAAGGCCACACCCCCTGCCCCCAACGGTCCCGGCCGCCACCGCTGGCCTTGCAGCTCCACTGCCGAGCCCCATGAGGGCAGGGGTGGGGAGAGGCAGGGAGGAAGCAACTTACCCTCCCTCTTCTCCTGCCTCCTCCTGGCTGAATGAGGGCTGGAAGTGGGGCGGCCGGAAGCAGGGGGCGGGGCTTCATCATGTGCCCCGCCACCCGTACCTTACCTGGGGGAACTGCGATTCCCCGCAATCCCCCCCGAAATGACCTCTGGTGTTGCCAGCTCTGGGTTGGGAAATACCTGGATATTTGGGGGTGCAGCCTGGGGAGGGCAGGGTTTGATTAGGGGTGAGACCTCCGCAGGGTATAATGCCATAGATTCCACCTTCCAAAGCAGCCATTTTCTCTAAGGGGATCTCGATCATCTGGAGATCAGTTATAATAGCAGGAGATCTCCAGGTGCCCCCTGGAAGTTGGCAATCCTAGTAATAATATAGAAAGCACAAATCTGTAAAGTGGACTCTGAATTGTACAAACAGAACATGATTTGACAAGGCAAGAACCAGATCTAATGGAAGTTACTTGCTAGATAGAAGAGCTCAAATGCCACTCTGATGGGTAAGACCGATAGCTGCCCATACCTGTGCTTTCTCTGTTGTGCCTCCCACTTGGTGGAATGGCTGGCCGGATGAGGTCAAGAAGGCGCCCACACTTCTATCATTCTGCAGAATGCAAAAAACAGAATGGTTCAGGAAAACACATTTATCATAGGAAATGAGACTATAGTAATCATCTATGACATTTAAGCAGTTTTCATTGCTTTCTCCCTTGAATATATTGCAGTGTTTTGTGCATTGTTCTCTAGGTTTGCACTGTATGTATTATACTATTATATTATACTTATACCGCTTTTAGTGCGTTGTTCGCTAATTTTGTAGTCCAGGCTTATTCACTATTGGTTGTATGGTTTATATTGTTCTTATTGCAGTGTTTTAAATTATGTAATCCACTTTGTGTCTCTGTGAGAAAGGTGGACTATAAATGAAGTAAATGAATAAAAAAAAATCAGGTATAATTCCATACACCCAATAATTCAGCCAACAAAAGAAGGCAGTACCTCTAGTTAGGCCCAGCCTCTGACCCCCTCATCTTGCCCTATGCTCTCAAAAAGCAATCAAGTAAAAGAGGTCTGTGAAGGTGTCACGTAAGGTGTCTGTCGTGCATCTGTAGTGGTAGCAGTTCATCCCTCCTGCTCATGGTTGCTTTCCCCTAATGCAGTGGTACTCACACAGCAGCTCATGGAAAGCCACATGCACAGTTACCATCAGCCAAAACAGCCACATCCCAGCCCTGACCTGGATAGCCCACGTGAAGCCTGATCTCGTCAGATCTCAGAAACTAAGCAGGGACAACCCTGGCAAGTACTTGGAGACCTCCAAGGAATATCTGGGTTTGGACGCAGAGGCAGGCAATAGTAAGCCACCTCTCTGAAACATCCAAGCCCCACTAGGGGTCACCAGAAGTCTCAGCTTATACTTGTTGCCCAGAGGTGCTGCCTTACTAACAGCAAGGGCACCCCACTATTGACCTGAACCAAAGTCCCCCAAAAGTCAAGCACTCTCAGCTTGAACCTCAGAGTAAGCATGTGAACACTCTGCAAAGAGAGGATTTCATATTCAGTTTTTCATACAAGGAAGCCCTCCAAGGCAAAATCTTCAACCTCCCCTCCTCCAGCAGCGACAATGAAGGCAGGTGTATTATCTGCATTTCTAAAGCTATTCAGAGGCCACCTGGTGAATAGTCCTTTCTCCAGAACTTCACCTAGCCCTTTTTGTGTGATCCTATGCTTATGTGAGAATCCTTTGTCTCCAAAGTTGTCTTTCCTGCTCCATCCCTCAGGATACTGAGATTTTTTAAAATTAATTAAAATTTAAAATACAATCAATAGCTATGAGTCGAAATAGCAGCAAAAATAAAATCGGGAGGGGGACACATTCACGATATCTGGGGAGTTTCCTCAATACAAGTGATAAACTTGTGGATGAGCAGGAGCGTTCAGCCTTGAAGCAAATGTGACAGCCTCAATTGATGTGGAAATACTCTTAATTGGTTCAGTGGATGCAGCCACTTATCACCCCCTGTTGTCAATATATTGCACCATCAACCAAACAGTAGCCCTTCATATTTTGGTTTTCTTATTTGTTCCCAGTTGAATTTGTCTATGTTCATTTTCTCTAATACAGGGTACCATTTATCCATGGGGTTAAGCTGGTGATACTCAACATGTGTAGTATTTGTCCAGGATGAGATTTTCTCTTGTAGGAAAAAATCCCAGACTTTGTGCAACCATTGTTG